CTTAGTATTGGTCTATGTATAGGTTTCAATCAAATGGGATCTAATACACCCGTTTCTGTGCTTCTGAGTGCTTGTGTAAATATATGTATTTTTTTTATATTTGTTTTGTTAAATAATTATTTTTGTTATATAGGCATCATTTTATACACTGTATTCTTTTTAGAAATATTTTAGAATTTGGTTTTGATTTCAGTAGAAATTTATGTTTGCATGCTGTTGAGTTAAGAGCGATATTACCAGGGTTTATAAAAATAAAACCATAAAACACTTTCATTAAAAGTGTAATAGCATGTACAGTTGAAGTCAGAATTATTAGCCCCCTGAATTATTAGTCCCCCTGTTTATTTTTTTCTCAATTTCTGTTTAACGGAAAGAAGGTTTTTTTCAACACATTTCTAAACTTAATAGTTTCAATAACTCATTTCTATTAACTAATTTATTTTATATTTGCCATGATAATTTACAACAGTAAATAAAATTTGACTAGATATTTTTCAAGACACTTCTATACAGCTTAAAGTGACATTTAAAGGGTTAACTAGATTAATTAAGTTAACTAGGCAGGTTAGGGTAATTAAGCAAGTCATTGTACAATCATGGTTTGTTCTGTAGACAGTCGAGTAAAAATAAAGCTTAAAGGGGCTAATAATTTTGTCCCTAAAATGGTGTTTAAAAAATGTAATACCTGCTTTTATCCTAGCCGAAATAAAACAAATAAGACTTTCTCCAGAAGAAAAAATATTATTAGACATTCTTTAAAAAATGTCCTTGCTCTGTTAAACATCATTTGGGAAATATTTAAAAACAAAGAAAAAAAATTCAAAGGGGGCTAATAATTCTGACTTCAACTGTATATTTTATTGGGTAAAACATGATTATTTAGCTGACTATTGAATAAAATTTTTGATTTCAGGAGAGGTTGACGGTAGCCTGATGCTAAGCTAAGAGAGAAACTATCAGGGTTTTAAAACTAAAACCGTTAAAAAAAAACTTCATTAAAACTGTAATAGCACACTCAGCAGGCACATCAAAATGACATCAGATTGATGTTGTACCCCAACGTTGTTGGGACATTGCATTTTGTTTGAAAATAAAAATGAGGTTGATGTCAGAACCCAACGTCAGGCCAACCTCCTACCTATAATCAACCAAATATCAACATCTAATGATGTTACAGCTTGATGATGTGTGGATGTTACCTCTATATCGTCTATCAGATGTTGGATTATGGTTCCCATACTTGACGGATAAATGACTGTATTTGATGTCAATATGATGTTGGTTTAAGATGTTGGCTCGGTGTTGGATTTTGGTCACTTTCCAACACAACCTAAAATCAGCAAGTCGTTATTGGATGTCAGAATAACGTTGTCCTTAGACACTGGCTACACATTGTATTTTGGTCACCTGACATCGTAACCTAAATCTTACCTAATCTTAACATCTTATGACGTTATGTGCCTGCTGGATATATATAATATTTTATTGAGTAAGCATTTTTTTGCTCAGCAGCCTATTAAATAAATGTTTTGATTTCAGGAGAGATTGATGTTAGCATGTTGCTAAGCTAACCAACGTTATATATACTTTAGAAAATACAAAAACAAATATTTAGTAAAATACACTTTGGTCAGACTGAATATATTATAGAAATATTACATTTAAAGTTTCTCTCGGTGCATTGTCAGGTTGGATTCTGCCTTAAAATGTGGCGAAAGACATCCTAATTAAGTTGGCTTTGTGTTGAGAAACCATGTGAGGCCTTTAAATCTTGCCTCAGTTGGCATCACACTAGGATTTGGATCAAACCCACCGTGTTTATAATCATTTTGTTTATACTGCGTCGAAAAGTAAACTTGGCCCTGATTCCCTGTGAGTTTGTTGAGCTTGGTGTTGTGAAGCTTTTTGTAAACCTATGATTTTGGCCAAGGGCTGGGAAAGTGAAGCTGCACAGGCTCCTAAAACCAAGCGAATGATAAGTGGAAAGTAACTGAATGCAGTGAGTGAGGACAAAAACAGGACAAGTGAACACATGGCCTCACTCTCCCTCTCTCTTTGTCGCTGGGACGCTCTCCCGGGGTGACTGAGCGTGTTTGGGAAGAATTAGCTCTGACGGTGTCGTGTCTGTCAGCCATCAATACTTTATTATACATTTTCACTCTCTCCTCTTTCCTTCACCTTCCCTTTCTGCTTCTCCAGCTCGCACATGCACTGGCCGTCTTCGTGACTCTTTGTCTTTCAATCACGCTCTCTCTTTTTTTCCTCATCCGTCACTTTTCTCTTTGACTCTTTCTCTCCGCCTCTTTCCTTTTGTCACACAAGGTCTTTGCTGCAATCAAGTTCTGCTTTCAAACAGCAGATGGACGCTTCACACACATCTTGTTGATGGCCATTACTTCTGAAGCTTTAAAGGAGAATATGAAATACAGCCATTATTTGCACTTTCAAATTGGGGAAAATGTTACAAATAAAGATTGATTCTGCGATAAGCAACTTAACTTTGATGTCCTAAACAGTAGATGTTCACAATATGCATCTTTTTTTGGCTTGATGTCTCTTCTGTTTCATTTAACTGCCGTATGAAGGACAGGCTTGTCTGTGAGCAGGCGGTATCTTGGATTGTGTCACAGAGTGCGTGGGTTGTGTTTTGTAATTAGCATGGGCTTTGGCGTAGATGGTATTTATGGATTTGCTCGTGATGCATAGCCATCCATCAGTCTCTGCAGAGTCATTGTGGCGTCTGATGTTTACATGATATAATCAATGAAAGCATTTCTGACAGAGATGACTGTATCAGCTGCTGAACATAACTGAAAAGCGGATCCAAAAGTTTGAGGCCATTATTGAAGATACTTTAATGTTTTTCAGTTGTTTCTAAAAAAGTGTTGATTAAATGTTCAAAATATATAGTGATTTATATAGAGGAATGAAAAGTAGGAAAACACAAGCAAATAGAAAAAATATCAACAAATTGGGAAAATGGCATCAGTTTGACGACATGTGCAAGCAAATTCTCACAACCAGGACTTTAAAATAAACAAAAACTGCACCTCTTAGATCTCCGACAACATTGCTGACTCTAAACAGAAAGCGGGGTTTGCAAATTTTTGGGGTGCCCTGACACATGCCTGTTGTGGTCTGTCCTATTTAGGCATGGGATGATAACCATTTTCAAGGTTTACTGCAGTTTGAAAAAGTCAGTGATTTAAAACCGACAAAATTTTCTGTTATAGCGTTCCTATGGTATGTGCGATTTTTTTTATTTTTTTATTTATTTTTTTTTAAGGACAAAATTATCTCCAGCAGAAAAGATATCCAAAGATGCTGTTTTAAGTTGTAAAGAAATGTTTTTGAAACTAATGAAGACAGCAAAAGTCAACGATTCGTTAGAATTATTTAGCCTGTTTCAAAATATAATAAATGTTTCTTAAAATAAATATATGTAGGCTGCGTCCAAAATTGCATACTACTCATTAGGTACTGAGGTATTTTGAATTCGATTTTACTACTCGACCGATAGAAAAGTACAATCTATACAGTATGAATGTGAGTAGTATGAGTAAAGCTCAGCCATACTACATCCACCATATTATCATGATCATGTGACATACCCGCTTCACTCCCATTCATGAATTCTCTCGCGGTGCATCATGGGATAGCATAGCATCCATCTGATGCGCACATACGAATTTTGCCGGAAGTAGCAGGTCATCTGGGTACTTCTCACATATACTGTTTTTTCGATTTCTATGAATTTGGATGTTTAGAAAGTTAGGAAAACAGAAGCAAATAGAAAAATATCAACAAATTAGAAAGATGAAATCTGTTTGATGACATGTGCATACAAATTCTCACAACCAGGACTTTAAAATAACCTCGCAGATATCCAACAACATTGCTAACTCTTAACAGAAAGCAAGCAGCAAGGTTCGCTAATTTTTGGGGTGGCTTTAACATTTCTATTGTGGTCTGTCCTATTTAGGCATGGGACGATAACCATTTTCAAGGTTTACCGCAGTTTGATAAGTCAGGGTTTTAAAACCAACAAAATTTTCTGTTATGCCGTTCCTATGGTATATGTACGTGTTTGTTTGTTTTTTTTAGGACAACATTATTTCCAGCAGAAAAGATATTCAGAGATGCTGTTTTAAGTTGTAAATAAATCTGTGTTTTTGAAACCAATGAAAACAGCAGAAGTCAACGATTTGAATTATTTAGCCTAAATTACTGTTCCAAAATATTATACATTTTCTCAAAATAAAATATATTGGATGCGTATGAAAAAGTCTAGTACTGCATTTGAATTTAAATTTACTACTTGACCAATAGAAAAGTATGTTCTGTACAGTATTAATGTGAGTAGTATGAATAAAGCTCAACCGCACGACATCCACAATTTAATTATGATTACGTGACACACCTGCTTCTCTCTCATTCATGAATTCTCTCGCAGTGCATCATGGGATAGCATAGCGTCCATCGGATGCACACTTCAGAATCTTGCCGAAAGTAGTAGGTCATCTGGGTACTTCTCGCATATGATTTTTATCTATGGATTTGCATACTACTCGGCTCGCATACTGTTTTTACTGTACTATATAATATGGAAGTATGCAATTTCGGACACAGCCATTGTGTTCCTTGCGGAAAAAAGTCCTTGTTTTTTACCCAGACATTTAAAAAGAATATATTTTAAAGCAATGATCACAATTCCCTGAAACTGTTACATTTTTATCCAGTGGTTATCATGCTGTTAAAATCTCATGCCAAGCCTATTTGTAGCATGCTTCTGTATTTGTATGTGTTGTCAAACTGACCTTCGTTTTATCAGTTTGTTAGGGTTTTTCTATTTGCATATGTTTTCTTGTAGCGCATTTCAGGTCTCTCGGCAACTGTACATTTAATTATAAACACACAATCTTGTTAATTACATTTATTGTTTAAGTTTTTGTTGTTGCTGCTTATTTTACTGAATACTTTCCTTTTTTATCTCTCCTCAGCTCTTTCGAGAGGTGCGGATCATGAAGGGGCTTAACCATCCAAATATAGGTGAGTTTTTTAGATACTTTTGAGTGAAGCCTTGCTAAGTCATTAGTCAATTTAATTTTTTTGTTTTATTTATTTATTTATTTATTTATTTATTTATTTATTTATTGTTTTATTTTCAATGTTTGTTTTTTATTATATTTACTTATTTTGTCAAGTTAGTTATGTTTAAATTAAATTAAATGTTTCTATATTTTGTATGGATTTTAAAAATGTAATTTAATTTATTTATTTATTTAACAATAACTTATATTAATACCACAGCTACTATTATTGTTATAATTATTTTAGTATATATAATTTATTTGCCAAATTGCTACACGACTTTGGACTATACCTCCATTCGAAAGTTTGGGGTTACTATAATATTTTTATGTTGAAATTGAAAGCCTCCTAGTTATTTTCTTTTATTTATTTAATTTTATTTATTTATTTTTTATTTATTTATTTATTTTCTTTTGAGAGATCTGAGAGCTTTGTCGAGGAGAATTCTATCAGTGAATATGACAATTTTGATTTTTGTGCATACTTTTTTTTTTACTTTTGGGCATGGTTATGTAATTTTTATTTTTCTTCTATCTACAGTTCAGCTCTTTGAAGTGATCGAGACGGAGAAAACGCTCTACCTTGTGATGGAGTACGCCAGTGGTGGTACGGTTCTTCCCCACATTAACTTACTCTATGATTTTGTTCAGAAAATGTAAACTAAATTTTGGGATTCCAGAAAACAAAAACTAAAAAAGATGGAATCTGTTTCTAATTGACCTACTGTATGTACCATCAAGCTTTGATGAGTTACATGAACAAACACACATGTCTCCAGTCTTTATATGCGCTCAACCGTAAATGCGCCTGTGTGTGACTGTCGCATCAGTCTGACTGAACACAGCTGCACAAACTCTTCATCCTTCCCTTCATTCCCTCTTGTATAGGTTTCATGTGCATTCACTGAAGCCAGAGCCAAACAGCTCAGCAATTAGAACGATTTGCCGCTAGTAAAGATGCTCATAGTCAAATCAGGCTTATTTCAACTTTAGCCCGTCCTATTTGTGGAGCTTGAATCGGCTGCATGCCTAATGAATCACATGTTTCCATTCCTAATCTATTAGATGAGGCTGATGCACGTGCAAGATACACACACACACACACACATTTCAGCATTAGATTATACTACACACTGGCAATCTGCCTTCCCTGTTTCCTGCCCCTGCTTTACATCTCACTGGAAGCTTATTTATTATCTGTACTGTCAGCTAATGAATCTCATTCTGTCGTCAGTGAAAACGGAGGGGAATGAAATATTGCCATGGTTTAAGGGTATTAAGTAGCTAACTTAATTAGTCAGGAAATTTGCCATTGATTGTTTATGACTTATCTAAATGAGTTATATTAGTGACCTCCATTACCCATTCAATGTGTGTTCATCTTAATCTGTACTCATACCACTATGCAGCTTCATGAAGGAATGTGCAATGTATCTATGAATGTAGATGTCACAGGGTAATAGATCTTTAAGTTAAATATCATCATTTTAAATGTCTACATTTTTATTTATAAAGTTATTTTAAATATTTCTAAGTAGCTAATATTAAGCATATTTGAACAAAGGATTTGGATCAATATAGTTATTATTATGTTGTAGCTTTACTCAATTCTGTCTTTTGTGTAGGTGAGGTATTTGACTACCTTGTATCCCATGGGAGAATGAAGGAAAAAGAGGCACGTGGTAAATTCCGTCAGGTAAGAGACGCTTAATTGTTAAACAGTCCAACATAGGCTTTTTCTAAAAACATATACCCATGTACATTTCTGGAGACCACAAATTATGTGGCCAGAGGAACTTATGGCTGCATTTCGTCTTTAAAACAAATGATACGGGGTGATTTTACATCATTCCTTTTCGTGCTAACCAGCTGACCGCTTACCCCTATATGGACAGCTTTTCCACTGTTACCAGTTTGTCCAGTTGCTCGCCGAGTACGTTGGCGAACTTGAGATGCAGAGCTGAGTTGACTGTGATGACAGGGTTCAAGTCCGGCAAAGAACAGTTTCAGGACGCAGGTCAGACTAGTCAATTGACTGCTAGTCAATCAGAGCTTTTGAAAACACTATCGGTTGGGTTTAGGGAAGTGGGTAGGCGCTGGTCAATCAGAGCATTTGAAAATACTATCGGTTAGGTTTGGGCATAGAGGCGGGTGGGTCATTTGATGGGTCTGTCTGTCTACAGCTACCTCTAGTGGCTTTAAGTGAGAAGAGCAGGCACAAACGGCACTCGCGAGAGAAATTTGAGATCTCAAAAAACATACACAACAACCTCTGGTGGATTCACGAAAGCAAAAACAGCAAAAAAAAACATAGCTTCTGGGACATATTTGGTGCTCTCCAGAAATGTATATAGGGCTACATAATCAGAATGAGCCTGGGTTGGAACAATCCTGATACTGGTTCTTTTTAAACGTAAATGTAAATCTTGCTTTAGAGATATTCTATAAAAAGTTTGGGTATCACTTTATTTTAGGGTGTCCTTGTTACACATGTTCCATGTACTTACTATAGTAGTTACAGTTATTTATGCATAATTTCATGCAACTAACACTAAACCTAATCTGCATTTTAACCTGAACTGTATAATAAGCATATGTAATAATTACTATCAAGTAGCTTAATAAATAGTGACACTCCAACAAGGATATCTTAAAACAAAATGTGACCAAAGTTAGTGCTTATAATAATAGATCTTCCTTTTACAGAGATGTCAATATCAGTGCTTCCCTTTCAGATTGTGTCTGCAGTTCATTACTGTCATCTGAAGAACATTGTTCACAGGGACCTAAAGGTTAATCTTCATTACTTATATATTCTTTGATTATCTCTGGATCTTTTGTAAAACTGTAAAGACCTGTCGTTAAAATATTTGCGCTCGTTTTAACTATTATGTCCTGCTCATAATCCTATACCGTCTTATACCTCACATCTCAGGCAGAAAACCTCCTGCTTGATGCCGACTCCAACATCAAGATTGCTGACTTTGGCTTCAGTAATGAGTTCACTCTGGGCAGCAAACTGGACACGTTCTGCGGCAGTCCACCGTACGCCGCACCAGAGCTCTTTCAGGGGAAGAAGTATGACGGGCCTGAGGTGGACATCTGGAGTCTGGGGGTGATTCTCTACACACTGGTCAGCGGATCACTGCCCTTCGATGGACAGAACCTCAAGGTGCAATATGAGAGGGCCATGTGAAAGTGTTTTAGGGATTGTAGGAGCTTTCTTGTCCACAATTAATCCAAATTTAAGCCACCCACCTTTGTGTGGAAGGTTGAGGGATTATACAATAAACTAATCCAAGAATGACCTGCGTACCAAATGTTAATGCTAAATTCAGTGTGTATTTTCAAAGTAGAAAGCAATAATCATCAAAACCAGATGCGTCATCAAACTATGTGCATTTGAAAGCAAGAAAAAACATATCCTATTATTGTTGCTTTAATTTGAAATTAAATGTTATCATTTTTGCAAAGCACATTATTCAAATTTTATTATATAAAATTAACTATATTATATTAAACAAACTAGTAAAATGTAAATTGCTTGAACAGGTATTTGGTCAAGATTTATATGTCAAAGATGTCAGGCATGTTTATTTTAATTTAGATATGTGTTTTAGTTGTTATAAATTAAGAAATAAACAAAACAAACAATAAAGCTGTCATTTTAAATGCTGGTGAATGTTCAAAAACAAATGGAAATTAATTTCAATAGACATGTAAAATTACATTTAACAGGATTTAATTATATGCATTTTGCCATATATAGATCATTGTTAATTAATTAATACTAAGCTTCATGTAGATAACAGCAGACACAATCCACACACACACATACACACACACACACACACACACACACACACACACATACACATCAAACATTATAATCCAGGGTACCTGGCTTAAAAACTCAAATTGACTGAAATATTGTGCTGTAGGCCTAAAATAATTTTAAACTGGTTTTAATTTTCCTTTGTATATGTAAAGCTACCCAATCAATCCAACAAACATCCAGTCACCAACAAATACATCTGAATAAAACTTCTAGAACAGTTTTTTTAAAGGTGTTTTTATTAATTGTTAATTATGTTTAATAGTTATGTTGCAAAAAAATGTACATAGCTAGGATCAGCTTTTTTAGAAACATTATTTAAATATGTGGCTAAGAAATAATTAATTAGAATTATAGACAAATCATATTAGAAAGGGGAAGTTCATTTTTTTTCTTATGGGCCATTACAAAATCTTTAGCATTTAGTCTTATATAAGTCTGACATTTTATTCTTCATGGTCTTAAAAAGGTTTTAAAAAATCTTTGACTTTTTGAAACCAGCAGAAACCCTGTAAACAGACAAAGGTAATAAGCTACTAGTTAAAGGGTACCTATTATGCAAAAATCTATTTTTTAAGGGGTGTAAGCACAGTTGTGTGTGAATATATTTAGTCTCTAATGGTAAACATTAATTAACTCTATTTTTATAATGACACTTGATAAAAACAGTCTGCAGAAACACTTGACATTCTTCTTTTGTACATGTCATTGAAGGGGCAAAGCTCCGCCTATTTGTGACAACCTCTCCCTCATTAACATAAACAGCGCTGATTGAAAAGCAGCCATCCACAGTTAGAGTTTTGCTAATATACCTGTCAAAGAAAATGTCACCAACTTAAAGCCATTATAAATGTCTAGTTTTAGGATGCTTAGCATAATCTCCTCAGACTAGCTGCTTCTAAACCACTACTTTTGACGTTTTTAGTTTTTCATGAAGATAACATTAGTCCTGTTTTGAATCTGTCGCCATGCTGACACAAATGCATTTGTTTCCCTGTCTTCCTTTGAACAGGGTAGCTTCGGGTTAAAGTGTCTTAAATTTCAGAAAAAAAAAAATTTAGGCCTTAAAAAGTCTTTCAATCACAATATATTTTGATAAAAGTTTAAAGAAACGTTTATTTATTAACTCTATTTGCTTATTTAAATGGTTTAATTATCTTCCTTACAATAACATTTGTTTTTAATGCTTTTTTTTAAGTTTGTCTTGACCATTTAAAAATCTTTAGCGTTTAGCCTTGTGTAAGTCAGAAATTTCATTCATTATAGTCCTAAAAAGGTCTTAAAAAGTCTTAAGTTAAGTTAAGTTTGATGAAACCTATAGAAACCCTGTTTGAAAAAAGAGCTGGGAGCCAAATGGCATTTAAATTTAAAACAAAAGTCACCAAAACAGCACAATTTGGATCAAAGCCTAAACGGGGTAGTTTCAAAGAGTTATACAATCTTATCTGCGAGATATATTGAGCTTAAACTTCACATACACGCTCTAGAGCAGGGTTTCTAAAACTCAGAGGTCTAATGTCCTGCAGAATTTAGCTTCAACTTGCCTCAACACACCTGCAAGGATGTTTCTAGAACACCTAGAAATGCTTTGGTCACATTAGAGTTTTTGCTTGCACAATTCTGTTGTACGGTGCTGCGAAAAGGGGCTGGATTAAACAAGATGACTAGACTTTAAAAAACGCGAGCGATTGGTCTATGTTTTAAATTTCTGTGCAGAGAGGTCATGTTTTGTTCTACGATTGGTCTCACGCAATCATGTAATGCGATTTCACAGGTCAGAGTTCACCAAGCTTGACCTTTTAAATGCAGCGAACTGCGAAACTTGTCACACAAGCTTGCGTTTCAGCTCTGACGCATTCATGTGGTATAAATGGAAGTCTGTAAGGAGAAAAGTGCAGTGTGAACACAGTTTAAGAGCTTGATTAGCTAGCCAAGGCTTGTCTGATTGGGGTTGGAGCTAAAATCTGCAGGACACTGGACCTCCAGGACCGAAATTGAGAACCCTTGCTCTAGAGACATATTATTTTACATTTTGCAGGCTGCACATATAAAATATTTCTAATCAATATACTGTAAATAATATTTCATATTCTGCAAAGACAAAGAAGTGAAAAATATAATAACAAATAGAAATGATAGTGGCATTCACCCTCCTTAAAGAGAAATAGAAACAAGCACCATGTGGGAAATGCAATTACTCATGAGCGTCTCTCATTCTGCATGAATTCAACTGTGCTCTGGCTTGCTCAACATTAATGACATGTACAGTAAGTTGCTTTGGAAGTTGAAGTAAGCCTTGTCAAGTATGCATTTACCTAGGCATGGGTCAGTAGATTATTCTCAAACCACCAGCAGATCTCTCATGTCAATTTCAAACAATCCTCTGGCAACATTTTGCGACATTTTCTAACTCATAGCATTGGCTCTGATGATATGCTTTACTCTCCACTAATGTAGGTCAAGTGAGCGGTGATTGTGTGTGTGTGCCGTGGGCTTGATCGGCCCACTGACTGCATCACAATGACATTAGGTGTTGAACAGAAGTGTGTGTTGTTCCCTCAGGAGCTGCGTGAGCGAGTGTTGAGAGGGAAATACCGTGTGCCGTTCTACATGTCCACTGACTGTGAAGGTATCCTGCGCCGCTTTCTTGTGCTCAACCCCACCAAACGCTGCACCCTGGAGGTGAGGAGGAGAAACTGCAGAGAGGGCGTCTCATTGAGTTTGCATGGATCTTGTGGCCTTCGACTCACTTTATCTGCCTCTCTGTTCTTCCCTTTCAGCAAATCATGAAGGATAAGTGGATGAATGTCGGGTATGAAAATGATGAGCTCAAGCCTTACATAGAGCCTGTGGAGGATTATAATGACACCAGCCGTGTTGGTGAGAAATGCTGTCTTATCATCTCGTTTTAGGCCAAAACAAATGGTTTTTAATTCTCAGTGTCTTGCTTTCCTGAATATATTTAGAATAAAATGTTTTATCTTGTTAATATCTATATTCAAAAGGATAAATAATATCATTTATTTGCCACATCGCTTATTGCTACACAATTTTAGACTATACCTCAGTTCAAAGGTTTGGTGTTGCTATGATTTTTTTTTTTTTGTTAAAGTTGACAGTCTCTTAGTTATTTTATTTATTTATTTGTTTGTTTGTTTGTTTATTTGTTTATTTGTTTGTTTGTTTGTTTATTTAACAAAAACTAATATTAATAGCAATCACTATTATTGATATTATTAATTAATTATATAAATAATGATACAGTATTATTAATATGAGTTATTAATATTTATAATTACAATAATAAAAAAAATAATGGGGCTGTATGGTGGCGCTGTGAGTAGCACATTCTCCTCACAGCAAGATGGTCTCTGGTTCAAACCTTGGCTGGGTCAGTTGGCGTTTCTGTGTGGAATTTGCAAAAAGTTATGAATAACACTACCAACAATTATGCCAATATTAATATTTAAATAGGATAATAATATAACATAATCATTCCTTATTATTAATAATAATATTATCATTAGAAGTATTCAGGCTGTTTCAGTTGGTATTTCTGTGTGGATGTTCTCCCCGTGTTTGCGTGGGTTTCCTCTGGGTGCTCTGGCTTCCCCACAAGTCCAAAGACATGTGGTATTGGCTAAAATTGACTTTGGTTTATGTTTGTGAACGAGTGTGTATGGATGTTTCCCAGTTACAGGTTGCAGCTGGAAGGGCATCTGCTGTTTAAAGCTGGATAAGTTGGATAATGCTGGAATAGTTGGCAGTTCATTCCGCTGTGGCAACCCCAGATTAATAAAGGAACTCTAAATAAATTGAGTCGAATAAAGAGTCGAAAAAAAATGAATGAATAAATGCAATAATAGGAAATAATTAAAATATTACCCCATTTGCAAGTTTTCCATACACATATGGTTAAATCTATTTGATAACAAAGTAGGAAAAAATTAGAAACAAGACACTTGAACCCAGATTGCTTAAGTCTGGTTAAAATGATCTGCTAAACCACTTGTCTGTTTACCATAATGATTGTTTTCTCTTTGTTCATACAGATGTAATGGTAGGAATGGGTTACTCGCGAGATGAAATCAAAGATGCTCTGACCACTCAGAAGTACAATGAGATTTTCGCCACGTATCTGCTTTTAGGTCGCAAGAATGAGGTGAGATAGGGATTGCAGCTGACCTGAGATCCCACCTGTGTGCTGTCCTGTCGTTGTGTAATGTCTCATATGTCACCCATATAGGATGGCATGGAGTCCCGGTCGAGCAGCAGTCTTTCCCTAGCACGTGTGCGGCCTAGTGCAATCACCAACGGCACCAGCAAACACTCGTCCACCTCCTCGTCCAGCTCCACCTCTGCCTCCAGTCACACTAAACCCCAGCGCAGTGCCTCTACCTACCACCGCCAGAGGAGACACAGCGACTTCTGTAAGCCCTTTTCTGTTTTAGAAATTGAAATCTACAGTTTACAGGCTACTATCTACAGTAGGACTAATGGAGGTTACACATAACAAGAGGAATAGTATTTATAGCTTAATTATAATTAGATATAAATTATGTTGATGGAAATGACTGGGCATCTGTTGATGGTAAGAAGTTTAAATATTAAGATTGATTGATATTGACTAAAAAATTGTCACTTTAGTATTATTAATATATAAGTTATATTATTAACAAACATTATTATTTCTATGATTAATAATAATAATATCTAATTCATTTTGTTGCTGGGCTTAAACAATGATTTGATATTTATATTGACAAAAATGAATCATATTGATTTCATAATTTAGTATTTTTGTCATTGTTGCTGGTATTACCATTATAATGGTTTTTATTAATTCTGAAAAATATATAATTATATTACCAGTTCATGAGAAATAATAATAGTAATTATTATTATCATATGTAATGTATAATTATTAATATTTATATGTTGTAATATATTTTACAAATTGCACTATAATAAGTATAGTAATAATAAAACAGTAGCAATAATAGTAATGATAATAAAAGAATGTATTAATGACTAAATTGTAAAATTATTCCTATTAACAACTTTATTAACAGTATTAAAACAGTAAAAAGTGTTTAATTATATTAATAAAAATATGTAATACTTAAATATAATAATAATGTGAAATAATAGTAAAAATTATTGAGTAATGTTACTGATAAATAATAATTCTACATTTTAAACTAATATTAATTTATAAATTCCTAAATATAAAACACGATTCACAAATCCAATTCGTAATTTCAAACATGATTCATGAGTACACAAATCCAATTTGTAAGTTCAAAACATGATTCATAAATACACAAATCCCATTCAAACATTATTCCTATTAACAACATTATTAACCATATTAAAACAGTAAAAATTGTTTCAATATTTTAACATAAATGTATAATAATTAAATATAATAAAAATGTGAAATAAAAGCAAAATAGTAGGGAAAAAAGTAATGAGTTATGATACTGATAATTAATAGTTTTAAATTTTAAATTAATAATTAAATAATAATTAATAATAGAAAAAAATAAGTAATAGTATAAATAATATAAATTCACATAATAATTTAAAAATAAAATGATTTTATTATACTATATTTAAATACTACAATTAGTTTTTTTCTTTTTTTAAATTTTACAAATTGTCTTTTTATGCTTGTCAGGTGGGCCATCAGTGCCAGTAGCCCATCCGAAGCGCAGCCCCACGAGTACAGGAGAAGGGGATCTGAAAGAGGAGCGTCTGCCCTCGAGGAAGACCAGCAGCAGTGTGGTAGGCAGTCGCAGCATCCCTCCATCCAGCCCTATGGTCAGCACCGCCAACAACCCCAACAAGTCTGAGATACCGGACCGCCGCAAGGACATCAATGCAACAACGGTAATCAAGACCGGCAAATCATCTACATCCTGTTGCAGGAAATAGTCTTATATCAAATATTCACTGTTAACCCTTGTGTATTGTTCAAATTTACTACCATTTTGTTATGTTCGTGGCTGTTTTTGCTCCATTTACTTCGATTGTAACCATATTTTTTGATTGCAAACCCATGTCACCTAATAATCATGCATTCTAGATTGTTGATCATCAGTTACAGGGCAGGACTGATCATCAGTTACAGTGCAACCAACAATCAAGAATGCATGAGTATATGGTGTCACGGCTTTGCAATAAAAATTGTTGCAATTGAAGTCAAAATGGGGCAAGTCATGTAATGGGGCAAAAAAACAGCCACGAACATTACAAGCATAATAAAAAAATTAAGTCTTTTAAAACAATATGATGTATATTTTAGGAGGATTCAACTGAAATTATAGCCATAAACTGATTTACAGACATGATCAACGCTTTCATTCTATGGAAAAGAGAAGCTGGACATTCAGCTATAAATAACTTCTTTTGTCTTGCACGGAGGAAAGAAAATAATGCTTTGTTTGAAAGGCACAGTGATAGAAATTTCTTTTTTGCACACACTATTCTGTTTTTAGAGTAAACAATCTAAATGATCTTTGGGACAATTCAAGTGCTGTCCATTAAAAGGTTGCATAACGGCCCCCTAAAAAACATCAATATCAACAACAAGTTTCCCCCTGGGATGTAATGGCACATGTTCATCATCGGGATTTTCTGCTCACAAAGTGATGTTCGTTTAGTGTGCAAACAGCTTGTTCCTGAAATGTTCCATTAGACAAAAACACACACATTTTTGAGGACAGCGGTGTCAGGAAAGCTTTTATTTAAAAAAAAGTGGTGTCTTTCTGTGTTCAAATCCAATGCCTGTTTTTTTTGTGCTTTAGAACAACATCCCTGCCAGTGCCATGACCCGTAGAAACACTTACGTGTGTACGGATCGCACCGGCACCGACAGACACTCCTTACTCCAGAATGGGAAAGAAAACAGGTATGCCTCTGTGTGTATATGTGGAATAAAGTGATAGTTCACCACAAAATGAAAACCCTTTCAAATCTTGAGAGACTTTCAATTAAATACAAGAAGAAATTTAGAATTTTTTTTTAAACTGGCAACCATTGACATCCATACAATGGAGCCAGATCAGTCTAAAAAATAATACATTTACAAAATATACTGTAGTTCATACATCCACAACACAATTCGCATTTACATATTCTAATTTGTAAATTCAAAACATGATTCAAAAATACAAAAATCCAATGTATAAATTTAAAACACGATTCATAAATACGCAAATCCAACATCTAAATTCAAAAAACGATTCAAAAATATGAAAATCCAATTTGCAAATTCAAAACATCATTCATAAATATGCAAATCCAACATGTAAATGCAAAACATGATTCAAAAATACACAAGTAAAATCTGTAAATTTAATAGCAATTTAAAAATACACAAATAAAATTTGTAAATTCAATAACGATTCAAAAATACACAAATCCAACATGTAAATTCAAAACACGATTCAAAAATAAACAAATCCAATTCGTAAGTTCAAAACACGTTTCATAAATATGCAAATCCAACATGTAAATTCAAAACATGATTCAAAAATACACAAATAAAATTTTTTAACTTTAATAACGATTCAAAAATACACAAATAAAACATGGAAATTCAATAATAATTAAAAAATAAACAAATCCAATTAGTAAATTCTAAACACGATTCATAAATACGCAAATCCAACATGTAAATTCAAAATACGATTCAAAGATACACAAATACACTTTGTAAATTCAAAACACGATACATAAATACACAAATCCAATTCGTAAGTTCAAAACATGATTCAAAAATACACAAATGTAATTCATGAATTCAAAACACAATTTATAAATACGCAAATCATTCAATTATTTTTCTTTCGGCTTAGTCTCTTTATTAATCTGGGGTTGTCACAGCGGAATGAAATCACCAACTTATCCAGCTTATGTTTTTACGCAGTGGATAAAATGCGCAAATCCAATTCATAAATTTAAATTACCACTCAAAAATACAAAAATAAAATTTGTAAATTCAAAAAAACATTCAAAAATACACAAATCCAATTCGTAAATTTACGATGCATAAAGGCACAAATTCAATTCATATGGTGAAAATATTTGATTTTTAATTGTAAATTCCCAAATTGAATTTATGAATTGTTTTGAATCTACAAATTGTATTTTGTAAATGTGAATTGTGCTGTTCATGTATAAATTGTATTTCATAAATATTTTTGAGACTGATCTATCTCCATACATACAAAACAAAAAACTCCAACATTCTTCAAAATATCTTCATTTGTGTTCAACTTATTCAAAGGTTTGAAAATGATGAGTGGTGTAAATGATGACAGATTTCTCTTTTGTGTGTGTGTGTGTGTGTGTGTGTGTGTGTGTGTGTGTATGTGTACTATCTCTTTGAAGTTTCATAATTGATGTACATGCTGGAGCTGAAACGATTTGTTCCTGTGTGCTTGTTTATTGAGATGGATTTGGTCTGTTATGCTTCAGCAGTGGCAGATGGCGACTGCTTAGCTGTCCTTCTATCACCCTCCTCTCTGAGGATGGTGCAAACACTGGCTGTCATGTGACTTAAAAAGAGCCATAGGAGGCACGTGGATTGTCTGGGTCACAAGGCTGCTTGACTGCTTGACCTAAAGAACCATCCCTCCCCCGAGCCTTGACATTACAGCACACGTGTCCACACTTGCAAAACTCACCATCGTTATAATGTGACAAATACACTGTGAAATAGAACTGCTTACACACAAATCCTTTTCATGTCATGCAATTTTTAAACCTCTCACTCAAAATGCAAAGCTAAATTTCCAAACACAACCAAACAAAATGCTACACTTATTCACTGTCACACACACATAATTTCTGATCACTAAACAATCACTGTTTTACTACAGTATAGGTCTATAAATAGGTTAAAAAAACTGGTCCACAATTTGTAGACGGCGTATTCACCTTTTCTACATCCTAAACTCCTCTAGAAAACAATAGAGAAATTCTTCTCAGCCTGGCTCTGGAAAGTGTATGATGGCCAACCCTATGCCCACATGACGCTTCTCCAGGAAAAGGGAGACCCCACACTCAGTTTTTTTCACTGTATTTTGGAGAATATACTTTTGCTTTACATACAGTATATTTATAGTTTTGCTGTATGCTACTGTATATAACAGTAATGTTTGTCCTAATGAATATTTTCAGTTTCTTCATTGCATTTGTGTTTATAGTCTACCTGTTACTCCTCTCTGCAGATTATTTTCACTGCAGGACATTGTATTGAAATGTAGATATAAGCCTGTTAAGGAGCAAAGAGCTTTACATTTAGAACAAAAGTGTTTCATTCTGACGTGTGTTTATGGCATTTTGAATGCAGTGTTACATTTTGAAAGAGATGTGAGGCATTTTGCATTTTGTGGTTGCAGTTTTAAGAACTGTAGAGTTTTGATAAAAGGTGACAATGTTCTGAAAACGCATATAAGCAGTTGGAAAAAACTGTAAAAAAATTTAATTATATTAATAATTGTTTTATTCATTTCTCCTGGTTTATCAGCATAATTGTAGAATTGAAAATTAAATTAATTTAATATATTTTATTTTTGTAAGTCAAACAATCAATCCTTGACAGTATCAGTACTTCCATACACACACACTTTAAACATCAAATTTCATCAATTTTCAGCAGAAAGTTAGAGAGATGGAGGAGTCTGACTGTACAATTGCCTCTAAGTGTATAGAGTGTACACCAGAAAACACTGTGTTCCAAAAACACTGACTAGTCTGCAATTTTAAAAGCTTAAAGTAGAGTTTAAAGGTTAGAAGTATTGAATTTGTGACGTACAAAAAACAATCCGTTCAATCTCAGCATACCTGAAAAAACAATTCATTCCACACACAATTTATTGCATAAAATAAAAGCAAGTATTGATAGTGTGTGAACTTAATTTGATTAAATGTAACATTTACACTGAATAAAATTAGGGCAGGTATTGATTAAAGTGTGAAATTAATTGTTTATTTTTCACACACTTTGACGGAGATGTTTCTTCTCCATGTACGTACGTATCATTAGTCATAAATAACTTTTTTTTTTAAACCTCACTGACTTTGAAATAATGCAGACTTGTAGACTTTGCATATAATATAGTTTTACACTTTTTAAAACAGTGGACTAGTCAAATTTTTGGACCTCAGGTATACACTCTATGCACTCAACCAAGTGTACAGTGCTCCTCCATCTCCATAATTTTCTGCTTTTAATGACTACAGTGGCTGACCAAGTGTGTGTGTGTGTTAAATGTCCATCAGTACAGGGTTATTTAGAGCGTTAAGTGAAGTGGCCCCAGGCCAGTGTGCAGGCTGAGGCAGCAAGTGAGATCTGTTAGATTTATGCCAGAACTGAGCAAGATGGCGAGGACAGAGGCGGTCTGATGTCAAGCGCTGCACATCAGTGACGTGAACCCGTCTGAACTGAAGACTATTAGTGCTGGTTGCTATGGGAAGAATCTCTATTTTTGTTGCACATAAAAAGAGAAGGTTTCAGCTTGACTTTAACACACCTCTTTGACAATATCAGGTTCAAACAACAATCAAGGAGTCCTTTGTAGAGCTGTAATTTGGCCTTAAAAGTTGGGCCTGACAGGGACTGAGCCAGACAGAATTTGTCCCGAGCCCGACAAGTACAGTTTGTTTGACAGCTTTTTTAAAGCCCGAACCCATTTACAGCCAGACATTTTTCAGATAGGCATTTGCACACTGCTCTTTTGTCTTTTTTCAAGAACAAGTCATTTATACGTGTGTAGTTATTAAGTAATCTGTAACATCGTAACATGTCAGCACTCTAAATAGGTACAGTATATGCACTTAGCTTTTAAATTGGCCAACACATCATTAAAAATAAGTCTTTCCTAAAAAATTATATTAAAATTAATTCTAAATTATGATGGGTATTTGAATAATGAAAGAATAATGCCAACATTAGCCTATATACTCTGTTTACATTTTGCATTTATGATTTAATTAATATTTAGTTATCATTTAAAAACCCTTTACTCACCTAGATCAGGCTCTTCAAAAAGGGTCTTGTTGGGTTCCTTCAGGTTAGGGCAAAGATATTCTGCTCTAGTCCTTTGTAACCTTATAGAACATCAAAACTGCATAAACAGCTATAAAGCCATATACATTTCCTAACAATGCCCAATTAACCACCCAGAACACCTTAACTCTGTGGCAAGTAAACAACTAGTAAACCATAGCAACCCATACCAGCCAGAACAGCGTAGCAGTACCTGGTTATCCATCCTGAAAATCATAGTAACAACTATGCATATCAACACAGTAGTAAATACTCAGACAGAGATGCCAGGTCAAAGCAGATTTTCAATCCCAATGATGACTGAAACCCCGCCCAAAACAAATAAAAAGTAGCTCAACTATTTACCTTGTCCAATCAGAGTCAACTGCTGGATTTCCACAAAGGGAAAGGTTTATCACATCTTGTCTGATGTTTTTTGATAAACATAGATACATTGTACATGTTGAAGTGTTGACTAATTTTCTCACACTAAACAACATGACTCGTTTCATAAGAAATTATTCAGTTTTTATTTTATATTTGGAAGAAATCAATATTTTTGTGGTCACAGCATGCTACGAAAGGAGCCAAAATAACCTGCAAAATCACCCCAATAATATGGGAAAACTGCGACCCTGGCAACACTGTACCTGAACACATAACTGCAAAACTCCAGCATAGCAACACCCTATTAGGCACATAGAACACAATTTCAGCTGCTATTTTTAGATTAGTATTATACGTTATTGTTTCATTTGCTCTCTTAGTCTCCGTCTTTTGTCATTTTATCTCTCCTTTGCCATGGGTTCGCACTAATTTAATACACAGAACAGGGAAAATTAAGCGATTTTTCTTGTCTCCTCCTTTCTCTGTGTCCTCTGTCTCCATTGTTCAGATGTGCAGTCCTGTCCAGGCTTTTTTTTACTTAGAGTTTAGTTTTAATTTACCTTAAGTGGCTGTTTCTGAGATGGGAATAAGAACACAAGAGAGCTCATGCCTCAGTGACTCAGCATCCTGCCTCACATTTACGCTCAACTAAATCCACATAGAGCTGCCTCACCAAGCGTCAAGATCTGATATCGCTCTAATCGTATAGCTGTAGAGCTCTTACTGTGTTTCATTCTTGGACACCATCTTACGGATTAAGTCCTGCCACCAATGTAGCCTCAAGTTAGGGCCACAATGACTGCAAATGAGCAGCAATAATGAGCATACATCATCACTGATTGTCCCTCAAAGCAGCTGTATTTAAAACTAGATTCTGCATTTTCTGGAGAAGTGTTTGCTCATGCAAAACTCGCTGACATATGCTGGGGGTGTTACAGTGCATGTGTCATACTGTTGATATGGTTGTACTGTTTTTCTAGTGCAGGGGTGGGCAAGTTCAGTCCTGGAGCGCCACAGTCTTGCTGATTTTTGCACTAACCTTGATCAAACAGGTTCTTCAGGACCAAACATGCCTAACCATGTTCTGGATGGTTGTAGGCAAGTTATTGCACTAAACTTTGGTTTAGGGAATTTAATTTCCATCAATGTTTTCTGATCTCTTTCCTCAGCTCTTTGTCACATCGATTACCTCCAGCTTCCCCGTCCACCCACAGCATTTCTGGTGCCGGGGCCTCCAGCTCTACTTCATCTGAACGGTCTCGGCTGACGAGGGGCTCCACCATCCGCAGCACCTTTCATGGGGGCCAGCTCCGGGAGCACCGGCCTCCCACCCACGCACCTCCCACCTCACCCACCCTTTCCCATGAAGCCAGCCCTCTGCCACATTCCCGTAGCCGTGCCACCACAAACCTGTTCACTAAGCTGACCTCTAAACTTACCCGCAGGTAAGAGGAAAGCGACAGTTTCATTTTGTAAGCCTGAGAATAAACTTTTAGAGATTATAGCTAAAATAGATCCAATAAATAAAATCTCTTCCAAAGCTTTTCATTTTAGAGCTAGCACAAGGAAATTTATGGCTTGTTCACACAAAGTACGATAATTGTAGAGATAACTCGAACAATATTCACACCAAGAATAATAACATTAAACATAATTATAATGTGAACTATTTTAACATCCACTCCAACAGGTAAAGTTGATTTCAATGATAACTACACTCACCGGCCACTTTATTAGGTACACATTACTAGTACTGGGTTGGGCCCACTTTTGCCTTCAGAACTGCCTTAATGCTTCGTAGCATAGATTCAACAAGATACTGCAAATATTCCTCAGAGATTTTGGTCTATATCGACATAATAGCATCACACAGTTGCTGCAGATTTGTCAGCTGCACATCCATGATGTGAATCTTCCATTCCACCGCATCCCAAAAGTGCTCTATTGGTTAGGATCTGGTGACTGTAGAGGCCATTTGAGTACAGTGAACTCATTGTCATGTTCATGAAACCAGTCTGAGATGATTCGCGCTTTATGAAATGGCGTGTTATCCTGCTGGAAGTAGTCATCAGAAGATGGAGACACTGTGGTCATAAAGAGATGGACATGATCAGCAACAATACTCAGGCAAGGCTGTGGCATTGACACAATGCTCAATTGGTACTAGTGGGCCCAAAGTGTGCCAAAAAATATTCCCCACACTAATAAATCAATATCCATGCTTTCATGTTGTTGATCCCAAATTCTGACCCTACCATCCGAATGTCGCAGCAGAAATCGAGACTCATCAGACCAGGCAAGGTTTTTCCAATCTTCTATTGTACAATTTTAGTGAGCCTGTGCAAATTGTAGCCTCAGTTTCCTGTTCTTAGCTGACAGGAATGGCACCCGGTGTAGTCTTCTGCTTCTGTTGCCCATCTGCCTCAAGGTTTGATGTGTTGTGTGTTCAGAGATGCTCTACTGCATACCTCAGTTGTAACGAGTGGTTATTTGAGTTACTGTTGCCTTTCTATCAGCTTGAACCAGTCTGGCCCACAGAACTGCCGCTCACTGCATATTTTCTCTTTTTGGACCATTCTCTGTAAACCCTAAACATGGTTGTGCATGAAATCTCCAGTAGATCAGCAGTTTCTGAAATACTCGGACCAGCCCATCTGGCACCACCAGCCATGCCACGTTCAATATCACTTAAATCAAATTTCTTCCCATTCTGATGCTCAGTTTGAACTGCAGCAGGTCGTCTTGACCATGTCTACATGCCTAAATGCATTGAGTTGCTGCCACATGATTGGCTGATTAAAAATTTGCGTTAACTAGCAGTTAGGAGGGTGTACCTAATAAAGTGGCCAGTAAGTGTGTATATGCTTTCATCTATAAACTACAATACCGTTCTAATTATTATATTAACCAAAGGAAAATAACTATAAATGCATCCACACCAGTAGAGGCTTATTATAAAGAGAACTATAATAGCATCCACATCAACAGACAATAACTATAATAATGATTTTTTTTATCATGTAACTACAGTGCTCAACGTATTAGTATACCAGCCAACAAATAACAACTAGATTGAAATCTATAATGACAAACATTTTAGTGTCTATACTAACTAAAAAAGTGGACTCTGATTGGCTGCCTTCTTTGTTATTATCATTCTGTTTTGTTGTCAAATTTAAAAGTTTTTTTTTTAAGGTTATAATTACCACTGTCATCTTTTAATGTGAACCGCATTAAATTGGCATGACACAGGCTCCGCCACTAGAACAATCCATTGTCCTGTAGAATCTTAGGAGGTAATGGAGTTAGACATGGGAGTGCTTGGAGCCTGTAATGTAATTGAGATGTTCAGTAGCTTGTAGGAAAGCTGATGGTGCGCTTTGCTCTTCAGCATCCTTAGTAATATTGTTTATGTGGCTGTCTGGGCCGAAAGCCAAAGAGGACGACTTTTGCAGGGATATGCAACTAGAAGCTCTTTATTAGATTAGAGCAACACTTCCAGCTTTTAAAAGAAACTTCCAGATTAGATTAAGCACCTATCTAGGGGTGACATCCAAGGTTTAATGTCCGTTTTCTGCAAAAGTTTTCATATGTACTCTTTGTATTAACTCTGCCTCAAGCCTCCTGTGTTATTAACCGACAGCTTTAGGCACCTGCTCCTCCACGTGTCCCTCTATCTCTTGGTCTTGGCTGTTATTGGGTGCTCAGTGTTTCTGTTTTGTTTATTTGCTTTATTTTTCCTTGCTGCAATCTTATTTTTCTCTTGATCTCCCTGTTTTCCTTCCTTCTTTCTGTCTACAACACTGTCCTTCTCTCTTTTTCCTTCCCCTCATCAACTCTTAGGGTCAATCTTGACCCCTCTAAGCGCCAGAGCTCAAACAAGTCAGTCTCGGGCTGCACTCTGCCACAGGGATCAAAAACAGTTAGTAAGTTTTCTTCCTGTTTGTGGCCTTTTCCCATTTCTTAGTCTGTCGAGTTACTCACAGTTTCACTGCTCTCCTGCGTTGGCGCTGGGTGTCAGAGCACCTCCTTGAGCTTGTAGACATAATTACTTTAAAAAGTTAAAAAGGAATTTGAATTGACACCATTTTTTTGCTCTCATATCATTCCAAACATGTATGGGTTTCTTTCGTCTGTGTTTAACCTTGCTTTAAGTGTACTTGCTCCACTCCGAGCACGTGTTTCTAGCATAGCTAAGGTAGTATGGTTTTACTAAAACAGCTCCCACTAATTATCTTCTGTTACACTTATCTCCTAAACCTTACTTCAATTTGGGTTATGGGCCACAGCACCAGTATAACAACTCTGCTTCTACTGTTGTTGTAGTACTGTATTTTAACTGAGGTTAAACTAGCGTCAGTAGTTAATGTAAATCATGAGGCCTTACACTCATTCTGTAAAAACTCACTTCCATTGAAGTTATTATACAGGGTGTCCACGGGGTCTTAATAAGTAGATAAATTAATATAGAGAAATTTAAGGCCCTTAAAAAGAATTAAAAGTCTTAAATGCTATTTTGAAAGGTATTAAATTTTATACCGTTTTTGATTATGTAATGAATGGTTGTATGCTAAAGTTTGCCTGAATTAAATCTGTGAATATCAGCATGATGTGCAGTTTATGAAATCATTAAAATCCTGATAGATTTGACATCATGCAGCTTTGTTTACTGCAGTAACCAAGGCAACACCATTATTTCAGCAGCTCTATAGTTGCCAACCTGCTGAATTAGCTAGATTTAATAGATTTGTATTCAGTTTATGAATAATGTTTTAGTTTTGGATTAGTTTCTTACATTAATATTTAGTAAATATACTGTAAGTTAAAATCTTGCCAGTGTTTCCAGTTATAAGGTCTTAAAATGTATGGAAAGAGTCTTTAAAAAGGTCATAAAAGGTATTGAATTTCACTCTCTGATTCCTGTATGTAGTGTTATACCAATCCATACCGCTTGGTATGGAGCCAGATCAGTCCCAAAGATAATATTTTTACAAATATATAATTCATACATCCACAACACAATTGACATTTGCAAAATCTAATTCATAATTTGAAAACACTATTCATAAATAGGCTAATCAAAATCAGAAATTCAAGACACTATTCAAAATTACACAATCAGATTCGTAAATTCAAAACACGATTCATAAATACACAAATCCAATTCGTGAATTCAAATTTCAAAAACACACAAATCCAGTTCGTAAATTTAAAACACGATTAAAAAATACACAAATAAAAATGATTTTTAATTGTAAATATACACATTGTGTGTATTTTTGAATTGTGTTTTAAAAAAAAAACATTTACAAATTGTATTTCGTAAATGTGTTATTTTTGAGATTGATCTAGCTCCATACTCCGGTTCTACTCATCCCCCTCTAAGTGAGATTGGAACTGGCGAATCCTTCATTGGGGGTACTCATGCTAACAAGGACTCTAAAAAACCTATGTCTAATGAGGTCAGTGTAGTTAGTTTTATTAGCACCACCATTTCAAGTTCATTTGAAAAACATGCCTCAGTCTGTAATTGTTGCTAAATGTAAAATACGTTTCTTCGGGTACATTTTGTTGCACATTTTAGATGGGAAATCCACTAGACGGCAATATCTGTGAGAATCTGAAATATGTTTCTTAGGGTGTGTTTTATGAAAGTTTTCACATACACGTCCTTCTTGTAAATGTTAATAAGCAAGTGGGGCTTGTCATGCAGCTCAACTAGCGAACCACTGACCTAAACCCAACTAATAGTGCCTTTAAAAGAAAATTTAAGAGAAAAGTGCACTATGGCTAGATAGTTTTACATTGATTTGACCTCTTTTGTGAAGCTGAGCACTCTGCATCCTAATTACAACACTGTATGAAGTGAGCTTCCAAGCAAACAAATCCACAGCAGTAAGGTTGTTCATATAGAGATAGAAAGGTGAGGCAGACATTTCTGGTTACAAATCATAGACATCATAAGTTGTTTTTTGGTATTCATGTATGTAGTGCTGTGCAAAGAACTGGACAAAATTATTCCTTTATTTGTCATTAATGTGTCCCTTTAAATATCACTAGCGTGAAAAGGAACAATAGTAGCTGATGTCATGTACAGCATTGTTTTTACATAGAAACTGCAGTCAAACATATGTTTTAGTGTGTTTGTGTGGTTTTACAAAAGTGTTCTGTACACTGAGGCATGTATGTTCAATGAGCCTTTGTTGCAGCAGAAAGCTCCTACTACTGTTACGCTCACACAAGGTTCAATCCCATGCAGGTCATGGCAACAATGTAACCTCTCCAATTTTGCACATCTCCCTATGAGTGTCTCTAGTTTGGAAGATGGCTGTTTTTACAAGGACTTTAAAGACCATCTAGTGTCAGTTGATAGTGCGCACTTTTAGGCTGGGGAAGTGATGTTTTACATGCAGAGCTCCTACTAGCTGACCTCTGTTACTCGTAGAACGTGTGGGATATTTTGAGAGCTGTCCGGCACCATATAAGTGTCATATGACTCATATGTAATAGAGTACAACAGTCGGTCCTGGAAGTAAAATTACTCTCATTCATAGAGAAATAGATTTTTAATAGCAATTTATAAACCTTTAAAGACAGTCAAAGAAGCATTTAAGTGTTTCATTTCTTAATGATTGTGGTTTTCAACTGATCACTTGTATCTTTGATTTATCCATAATTTATCCTCATTGAGACAGGAATTTGCCACCAGCAGTTTTTGTGTCATGTTTATTTATTCACAACAAGGTTATCAGTATAAAACTTCAACAATTTTTTTATTATTGTTATAAATTTTTATTATCGTACAATATTGCCCACCCCTACTCGCAGCTGGGTAATTTGTTTTTCATAGTGTACATTTATGAAACAATCACTTTTAGATATCCTTATGTAAAAAACACTTCCAGAATAAAGTATCCTGAAAAAGTAGGAGGAATCTGTTGCACTCTATTCTAAATGTTCTGAACTTTACATAATAATATCATAATAAGGTATTATTTGATGAAAACGTTCCTCATTCTTGTGCCGAAGGAATGAAAATGTTTTTTGCAATGTCTTAGCATAACATATATAAATCAAAACTTTTTAAAAGGTTATAGTTAAAAGCTGTATATTTGTGTACAAGTCATATGAATCAATGTTATGCTGCTTTATTTGTTACTTCTGCAACATGACAGCCTTAATTTGGGTTTTATGCAAAATATACTGATTGTCATATGATGCATTGAATTATACATGTTTGGAAAGACATGAAGGTGAACAATTTTGACAGAAATGTCATTTTTGGAGAGAGATTTTTGGAAATAATTTAATGTTATGTATTGAAAAGTTCTTTATTTATGTTTGCTCAAGGGTTCTTTTACACCAAAGCGCCATACATGTATCACTTTGTCATGCAATTTTCACACTTTTTACTCATTCACAGGAATATGACTCTTATCTGGATTCGAGGAATGCCATGTGTCCTATTTGTAGTTATTAAAAAATACAGAGAAATCTGTGTCAAATACCCTATTACAAGGCCTAATTTCAGACAAACCAGAGTCGAGCAGGGGCTTCCTCTTTCCTTATTAAACCCAGATTAGTTATGTAACATGCATTTGATCCTCTCATTCCAAATCTCATTCACCGCTGCCCAAGCTCATTTGCTTCACCTGCCAAACCACATGATTTTTCTGTTTAAATATGTTTTATTTGTATTCCCATTGTAATTATTTGAGAAAATGGACAGTACATTGTCCCTTTAAGAGGGAATCCACTAACTACCTCATTTGCTACATCATGTGAATGGAAAGTTTCACGAGTGCTCATAAAAGCAGCCTTGAACCGTAGCGCCCTCATGTGGGTCAACTAGTACTTGCTTTGTTTAATAATTACTAATCTGTTTTGATGTCTCTCATGTAGAATACTAGATTAATACACTTAAAAACGAGGTACCACACTTACACAATTAAATGTTGTATGCTGTTATCAACTGTGAATGTTTCTTTAATTTGTGTTACACTGGCATGAAGCAAGTGACGTCTCAATAATACAAGATACAATCTAAATACGTAATCCAACTTCTATGAATTCCATCACTGTTGTCAAATTCTTTTGTTGTCAGTGGTGAATTTTTTTGTTTTTTGTTTTTGTGGAATGCTGAAGGTGATGTCAGTGTAACAGTGCTGTGGTGTTATGGCAAGCCGTTTTGACATTTAATCTATAACCAGTACTAGTATCTATTTTCATGTTACTTGTGCTTAGTTTTAGATACTAGTATATTTTCCATTAATTAATAATGCTTATTCATTAGATACTAATACTTATTCATTAGATACTGCCTTTTCTTTAGATACTAGTGCTTACTCATTAGACACTAGTTCTTTTTATTAGATATTATTACTCATTCATTAAATACTAGTACCTATATAGTGGAGGAACTATGACATTACCTTGTAGGCTAATCAACTGCTAGCATAAAACTAGTTTCCTCGATAAAATCCCTATACAGTTTTCCCATAGGCTTTTTGAAGATTCCAAATAATAAGCTCCGTGTTTAAACATTGTTCATTACACTTACACATTTTGTCCAACTGGATAATCCTCACACGAAAATTCAACTTTTAGCACTTTTTGAATGCAAATGCAACAATTAAAAAGCTAACATTAGTCTATAAATGAACTACAGCCCGCTTACCTTAGTAATAGATGACAGAAATAAGGCGTGAGGGATAAGCCTATATGCCTGCAAGCTCCATCATGGACTCAGAAACAACATTCAATGTTCTTTTTTTGTCTCGAAGTACAGCGAAAAGCAGCCCATACAGTCACATATGCTATAAAGTTTAAGGAAGATTGTAAATACTGCAGTTATGACGGAGTTAAATGTGTTAAGATGTTCTGATGAAGAAAAAAAACAAAAAAAAATCCATTGATTGTTAAAGTGACAGTTAACGTGTATGTATTTTTTTACACGTTTGCATTACTGAGATTATGAAAGAGACTGGCAGCACTGGTAAGCAGTATCCCCTTAATGCCGTTTAATTAAAATAATGTTCAAAAAATGTATGTCTTGACAGTATTTACAGGTGAAGGCACAATCTTCACACAATATAAATTCCCAATTAGAAAAATAATACAGACTATAAAATACTATTTATGAAAATACTTAAATCACAGACAAATCCAAATGCCCTACACATGGGAGCTGCGTTCTAGACCAGCACAGCTCGATGATGCATAATGTCTCCGACAACGCCTGTAGCCCCATTTAGTAACTTGATAGCAACTGTCTTTTTAAAGAAGTGTAACCGATTTAAAAGATGAAGAATGTGGTGTAACTGATGTGTTTTATGTCGTAGAATAAAACGTGAAAGTATATTGAGCATGTGTTTGGCACAAACCTTATTTAAACAATTTAACCAAAATCCTCTTCAAAATACCTATTGACTTTTGGACGAGGGAACCAGTACTGCTAAACTGCTAACTCGCTTCCAGATTTTTGCATACAAATTGACATCATAGTTCCTCCACTCTATTAATTAGATACTAGTACTTATGTATTAGATACTAATTCATATTCATTAGATACTAGTATCAATTGAATAGACATAGTGCTTATTAATTAGATACTAGTACTTATGAAATAGATACTACAACTTATTTAAAAGATACTAGTACACATTTATTAAACACTAGTATTGTTTGAAATGCTACTAGTAAAATCTTAAATAGTACTAGTAAAATGTATAATTGAACTCTACTCCTCCATTTGGACTAGTCATATCATAAGATGAGTAAAAATGCAGAACTAACTAGTAAATAAGAATAGTTACTAGTAATAATTATAAAAGATACTAATGTCTAATAAATAAATACTAGTACTAATGAATAACTACTAGTATCTATTTATTATTTTCTAGAGTATGTAATGAATTGGTACCAGTATCTATAAGTACTAGTATTTATTAAATACTAATATACTAATATCTATTGAATAAGTACTATTATACTTAATTAATAAGTACTAGTATCTAATAAGTAATAGTACCTAATCAATAGGTACTAGTAATAAGTACTACCTGATGATTAACTACTAGTACATAATAATATGTACTAGTCCCAGCTATAATAACAGATAGATATAAATGACAGATCCCATAGAAATCAATGGTTACAAATATGCAGCTAAATCATTTATATGAGTAAATTAAACTCTGAGCTCAAAAATATGCCCACCTAACTTACAATTTTAAACTGAGCTAGCAATTTTTTAAGCTGGGTTTTTTTTTTACAGTGTACTAGTATCTAATACATAAGTAGTATATAATTAATAGGTACTAATATTTAATAAATAAGTTTTAGTATACAATTAAAAGAGCTTGTGTCTAATGAGAAAGCATTTTAAAAAGCACTAGTATCTAAAGAATAGGCACTAGTATCTAATGAATAAGTATTAGTAACTAATAACTAAGCACTAGCAGGCCCTGATTGGCTAATCGGGAGGACCGGGAGAATTCCCGGTGGGCCAGTCTGTTTTTTGGCCGTGAGGGCCGGTGTCCCTAGTTCCAGAATCGGTTGCTCTCAGCAGTCACACTTTTTAAAAATTATTTATTTATTTACTTGAACACAGCCTTCTTATTCATTATTTTACCACAGCTCTGCTCTTTTTATCTATTTTCTCGTAGCCTCGTGAGCAGTATGCAGGTTAATGATGATATAACTGGATAAGTCGTCATTAAACATACAGCTGATGTGGTACAGTGGTTAGTACGTTAGATTATGACGTGGCCAACCTGGGTTCGGTCCTTGTCTGAGTAACAATTTTTTTTTTTTTTTTCATTTTTATTGTTAAGACATAATACTGTAAGGGTTGTTGAACATTTGAAGTTCTAAAAGTGCTGTTTTCTCAAAAAAAGACGTGATAGTGTAATTAGAAACTGAATTGGAAATAACCTTATTTTAATATAGTCAGTGGTGAACTGAGGTGGGCTGGTCTGAGGCTTGAAACTCCAGGGCTGAAAAAGAGTCCCACTCCGGCCCTGAGCACTAGTAACATGAAAATACATACTAGTCCGGATTATAGATTAAATGTCAAAACGGCTTGCCATAGTAATGTTATATGTGAATTCGTTTGATTGGCTGTTTGAGGAGGGCGGGATAAAAGAATGCTAATCGCTGCTCTATTGACTGATTGATTCCTAACATGAACCTTTTCTTCTTCTTGAGGGTCACAGACGAACCTGAGAGAGTCTGCAGATCTCCGGTCACAAGGTGAGTGCTTTCATGTAGCTTTTAAAACACAAATATGGCTTCTTCTTTTTTTTCTTCTTTTTAAAAAAACATAAAAATAAATTAAGCAAAACAAAATAGCTGCCATAGAAGACAACAAGGAAGCTACTCAAAATGGAAATAAAGAATATTTACCAATGGTAGTAAAAATATCGTCTAGATAGAAGGAAAAAACATATTCTTAAATTATTTATTAATTTAAAAAGATTAACTTGTGCCTCGCATATTATTTTAACTGTCTGTTACTTCTCCTTAGCTACAGATACAGCTACAAAAAGTCAGGCTAAAAAACACAGGTAACTTCTAGCATGTGCCATTGCAGATCAGAATGTGACTGCTTTTTGTTAATTGTATAGAACCGTGTATTGTTTGTATATTATGTGCATCAAAACTAGTGTAGCTAAATGTACAGTTTGGTTAGATTCGTACTTGCCCTCCCCTTTACCTTATTTTACCCACATTTACAGTATAATCTTCATTGACAGTGGTTGGCTATTGCATTTGAAAGTGGCATTTCAGTTTTGTTTTGTTTTTTAACTTGAATGTTTTTCGTGTTTTTTTTTCTCCTGTGCTACTAGTGTCCTGTTAATTTTAATCAATATTACTGATAGAGGTTGAATTAATTTGGAATGCATTATACCCTCAGATTTACATTGAGGGATTGTGTGTAAGAGACATACAGTATGAAGTGCATGACAGGCGATGTATGGCTGCACAAGTTGTACTGGTTTCAGCTTTTACACAGCGCTGTACCAAATATACTTTGCTTTGTTATATTTTATTTCTCTGTTTATATGTTGTTATACACTGTCATTCAAAACTTTGGGGTTGCTGAGATTTCTATAAATAGACATTATTCCTTTTATCCAACAAGGAAACATTAAATTGATGAAATTGAAAGTAAACTTGCATAATAATTACAAAAGATTTTAATTTCAAATAAATGTTGTTCGTTTGGACTTCATATTTTAACAATGGTAATAATAAACAAAAATATTTCTTGAGTGTCAAATCATCATATAAAAATTTTTTTGTGTATGATCATGTGAAATTGAAGACTGGAGTAATGCAATAGCTGCTGTAAATTATTCTTTGCAGTCACATTGTTACATTTCAAAATACATTTAAGTAGAAAACTTTTAACTAGATAATATAATCAAAAATATAATAATACTAATGTGCACAAAAAAATATTTAAAAAAAAAAGAATCTCACCAGACCCAAATGTTTGAACAGTTGTGTACTTTTAATCACCTTGAAAATGAATTGCATTCACATTTTATTTAGGCCTTGCAAAATGTTCTAAGGCTTTTTGTTGTGGAATTTTCCCCCATCCAATTTAGATAATGCTAAAATTTTTAACTGGTTTTGAAAATGATTTTATTATCCGGAAGAACTCCAGTTTCTCCTGCAAGGTAACAGGTTTTAACAATTTAAATGTTTTCTCCCTTTGTATGTTAGAAAGTTTTCAAGCCTTTTTAGGATGTTATTTTTAACCCTTTTTTATTAGTAATACTTTACCATAAGGTTCAGTTAAAATTAGCAGATGGATTATGTTTAATAAAATGACAATGAACATTTAAAGTCTTTAATAATCTAAAATATGTCTATGTATTAGGAAATTTAATTTAAAAGAAATGTTTGTAAATGATTGTAAAATATAAATGCATTAATGGTATAAACAGTACTCAGTTTTGATGATTAAGGCCCAATTCCAATTCTATTTTTCTATCCCTACCCCTTGCCTTTGTACCCTGAAACAGAGTGCGAAGTGGAAGGGCCATTTCTTAGGGGCAAAATTTACACCTAAGAAATGGGACAGAACTACACCACTGCACACGTCCTCATATGTCATCGCGATCTCTTGCTTTATTTTAGATTGATGATTGTTACTGCTGTAGTTATTCCAGTTGCGTTATTTTTGGGTATTTATCTTTAGGAAATCACTGAAGGCATATATCATAAGGATATAATGTGGCAATAAGATTGTAACTGTACTGTGCGTTTACACCGTGGCCATATTCATCTATTTAAACAAACAAAAACAACATTAAGATTATAGCTGACTTTTCTGACAGGGTATTCGAGTGTCATCGAGTGACTACTATACAGGAGTTATTATGGATTATAGATAGCGAAATTTAGCATTTTTTATTTTAGCATTTGTTTTTTTTGTTTGTTTTTTAAGCATGAGGCTAAAACACAAACACGGTTATAAATGCATTTAAACATATGCTTGTTTGTTGTAAAAATTGCATAATAATGGCAAAAATACTAATTGGTGCATCTGCATACTTCCGTGTGCAGCCATGCTGCTGTTGGAGATGGTGTATTCTGGGAGATTTTTGTACCCCTTGGTTTCGAGTGTGCTCCTGAAAAATCTCTGTTTTGAGGGCTATCTAGCCCTTCCCCTTAGCCCTACGCCTTCAAGCTAAAAAGAATTGGGACACTATACCCCTTCATGTGAATGCACAAAACAAGGGGAAGGGCTAAGGAGTACAATTGGGATTGGGCCTAAAAGTAGTTCTTCCTTTTTAGTTTGTTAATGCTCTATTCAGTGTTGACCATCTGAAACTTACTGTACAGTGTTTCATTTTTTATTTACTGATCCATGAACTTAAAATATAATGACAGACCACTAGTCTACACATTCTAGTCAGTCTTTATGATTTTTGAGTTGTATATATTTCTAATATATTTCTCTCTTGTCCCTCCCTTCCACCCCCGTCCAACACATGTCATTGCCCACCTTCCATTTTGTCCACCATTTCACTTCCTCCCCTCTCTACAGTCGCTATCTATCTGGGTATCAAAAAGCGACAGAGCCCCGGACCCCCCGATGCGGCTGGGATGTGAGAGTGCGGAGCCCACGGGACCCGGCTGAGGTGGTTCTGGCTCTGCGGGAGGCGGCGCAGGGCTGCGGTTGCCAGGTCCACCAAGCCGGGCCCTTCCTCCTCTCCTGCACCCATGGTGCCGCCGGTTCCCGTGTTGCCTTCGAAGCGGAGGTGTGCCAGCTGCCCAACGGCCCCACCGAGTCCAGTGGTGTTCGATTTAAGCGCTTATGGGGGGCACCGCTCGCCTTTCGGGACATCGCCGCCAAAGTGTCTAAAGAACTTGAACTCTGAGGGCGACAGGGGGTGGAGGGCAGGGACAAAAGCATCGGACAGGACGATGGGATTAGTGAAAGTAGCCCCGCTCACACCCCCGCCCCCTCTAAGCCTACAAAGACTGGCACACACACATTGAGAACTGGGCATCTGCTCACACAAAAGCCCTGCTGAAGGAACTCCTTTTACCGGGTCTGTTTTACCGCTGATTTTACCTGGTATCTTAGCCATGTTCTTTTTAACACCCATTTTTTTGTCACATGGTCACTCTATACATTGTCATTCCTTTTTAACTGCTGCTATTTAACTCATTTTTGATTTCAAGTCTTCTGCTGCACCGGCAGGGAGGAGGATGTTTTATTTTATCCTTGTTTAAATAACCATTTTCACAAACACCTGTGAACGCCATGCCATTTCCAACCGTAGACTACATGCGGAGCCGCTGATAATGCTGAAAGTGATAGCAATTTCTCAGCATATTCTTTTTTTAATGATCTCTGTCCTTGTTGGTTGTTTGTTTTAGCCATCAAACTTGCCAGTGGTGCAGGTTGAGTAGGAGATGTCTGCTTTCCTGAGCCTCTTTGTTTTTAGATTCATCATATTTACATGGTCACATCGTAGCACTTTAGGGCTGAGTGAGCAACACCACCTGTTTTAAAGCAGTTCTCCCTTCAAATGGTGCAATTTTATCCCCGTTGAGCCAAGTCGAGACACAACGCTCTTTGTGTTGCTCTTGTACGTGTTGTACGCTGATGAGAAACCTCTGTTATTTTGCCAGAAGTGCACTCTGCTGAATGGCCGCAAACAGACTGTTGACTTTGTTTATCTTCGGTTTGAAATAGCAAGTCCTCATCGTCAAGATTGGAATATGTCTGAGCTGTGCAATGTGAGAAAATGCAAGAATGATTAATACAACATTTGTCTGAAATCCATTTATTTGTGCGTCTGTTTATTTAGTAGCATTATGTCTTATGAGTCAGTATTTTCAAAGTGCTAAAATCTGCTAAATTGCCTTCATAAAATGACCTGTTCTGAATTTAAAATAGTTTGCATCAGGGGTTTAAAAATTAATGGTTGTTTTAACATTTTTGTAAAGTTCACTAACTAATTTCCAGAGATTGTAATATGATTGATCACGGCTGGTCCCCCATAAGTAATCATTGACTAGCCAATCGGATCATTCCAAACTCAACATAAATATTCTGCCAAACTTTACTCCCTATCTTTGTTTTGGAAGACAACCACCCCCTCCCCAAGTTTAATTGTCCACTCTTGCCATCTTCTCGGCTGGTTTGCGTTCACACCATTTTTTTCTTTTGAACCCCGGTACGCTTGCGCCATTTAGCTGCTGTTGTGTGTACTGCTGTTGCTAGGTGACGAAAACACGAAAGCAAAGCGTCAAAATAGAAAGTTGTTTGCACATCGTGGTCGTTCTGCTTTTACTGAATCTTTTGATTTTGGTCATACAGACAGCGACACGCGTCCATCTGCCGCAAAAATATTATAAACATTCAGAACATAACGTTATGTCTGCAGAAGCTGTTTTTGGAGGTGACAAGCAGACATTATCGCTGTGATTGCCTTGGCTCAGTCCTGCTTGTCACCAAGGTACAGTAAGTCACACACACACACACACATTCAGTTGAAATCAGAATTATTCGATTAGAATTATTGATTTATTTTATCTTATCTAATTATTGAATTATTTTATGTGAAAGAACATAACATTTTACTAGATATTTTTCAAGATACTTTTATACAGCTTTAAGTGACATTTAAAGGTTTATCTAGGTGCGCATCGATGGATTGCACTTCAGTGTTTGGACTCTCAGTAGTGATTATAAAACCACACTGAACTGAGCTAAACTGAACTGAACTTAAACTCTAAAAACTGAACTACACTGTTTCAATTTACTATGATCTTTTATGTAAAGCTACTTTGGCACAATCTACATTGTAAAATTCTATACAAATAAAGGTAAATTGAATTAAATTGAATTAATTAGGTTAACTAGGCAGGTTAGGGTAACGAGGCATGTTATTGTATAACGATGGTTTGTTCTGTAGGTTATCGAAAAAATATATACCTTAAATGGACTAATAATTTTGACCTTAAAATGGTGTTTAAAAAATTAAAAACTGCTTTAATTCTAGCCGAAATTTTCTCAAGAAGAAAAAAAATATGATCAGACATACTGTGAAGATATCCTTGCTCTGTTAAACATCATTTGGAAATTGTTTGAAAAAAAAAAAAGAAAATTTAAAGAGGGGGCTAATAATTCTGACTTCAACTGTACATACACAAATTAAAGTTATGAAAACTAAACGTTGTTGTTGGTGGTTTACTTCCGTTATTTATGCGTTCATACCACAAATGAACCATACAAGAGTTTGCACTAACTGTACCCCAGACCACCTCTTCCAGGTGGACTCGGGTACAGTTCATGGGTGTGCACCCGAGTTCAAAAGACACGTTCACACTAGCTAAACGTACCGGACGCTGACATCAAACGAACCTGGCTGTGGACCAAAAGGGCTAGTGTGAAAGCACCCTTACATGCTCACTGACCAGGCTGGAACCTTAGGATTATCTATCTCCGAGCTCAGGGTTCTCTCCAGGGACAGCATGCCAAGCCCGCTAACATCATCAAGCATTATGTAATTGTGAACTCATGAAAACAAAGATAGTTGCATAATTTTTTGGAGGGTTTATAATTAGCGTTTTTGTATTTATGAAATAAAATAATGCAAAATAATACTTTTTTGGTAGTTCTAGTGTAAATATACACTGGATCTATTTGCATTTCTGTGTCTGTGTGTCTAAATGTTCAAATATTTCAAATGTGTTTCTTTACAGTTTGTATTTTTATTTATTATGATTAAGTTGTCTTTGTACCAGCAATTTGTTTTAATTGTGTTTTAGGTTCAAATATATTGTTTATGATTTGCAAAATATACTGAAATATCTTATAATACAATGGAGCATAATGTGGCTTCATAATCACAAGAAATGACAAATGATGCTTAAAAAAATATCAATATGTATCAATCCACAAAAACTGTTATTACCGTACGTGTTCACAGATTTGTCCAGAAGTACAAAAAAGGGGACTATTTAGACTTAAGACAAAGGTTGATTGTTACATGGGGCCGTTTATTAAACTTTGTACAACCAAAAAAGTTTAGGTGAATACAACACAGCTAGGGGTTTCTAGCTATGTGGATGTTTGATCCCAGGATGTTACAGGAGGAACAGCAAGATAAGAAGAAAAAGTGCTGGAAAAAGAAGACGACAGGAAAGAAAGGAAGGAGAAAAAAAAAGTAGGACAAAAGGAAGCAGGGTGGAGTGTCTTTTGGAAAAGTCATGATGGCACGACTGCATGAACAAATAAAAAAAAGAAACACTTTTGGCAGTTTACTTCTGGGCAGGGATCATGTCATCGATGGACTCGCCCTTCTCCAGTTTCTTTTCCATTTCAACCATGAGTTTCACACCATCGACCACCAGCTGCACCTGCTGCACCTCAGAGGAGCCCAGACGGTCAGCGTTTGAGATGTCGAACACACCACCGACGGAGGCTGTGTCCACACCACCTGGATAAGAGAAGTAAGGAGAGTTGCTCAAACTAACGATCACAGTCTAACACTTAACAATTATACCTACAGTTAGAACAAATTCAAGCTCACCTGTGCCACGCTTCTGAAGACGCAGTCTGGTCAGGATCTCCTCAAATTTGGCATGTGTGCTGAGTTTGGGCAGCTTGACGTGGACACCACCGCGCAGACCGGTACCCAAGTTAGAGGGGCAGGTCAAGATGAAACCAAGATGCTCGTTCCACATGAAACCGTGGTTGTGCTTCTTGAAAACATCCTCAATCTGCAAGATGCAACAAGCTGTTTAACTTCTGGAGTTACCAAAAATGTTAAAGTACTGACTGAATTGGTGGTAAATAAAGGGATTTACCTTCTGCAGGCCAACGCAGAACCTCTTGAAGACCTCCTTCATGTTGCCACCCTTCTGCATAGAGATGACACGGAGGTGATCCTCCTCGTTCACCCACACAAGGAAGGTCTTGTTGTCGTTGTGCCAGATACCTCTACCGTCAGGCCAGTCACGGGCCATGCCAGCAGCCAACAGCAGGGGGGACACAGGCTTGTCAAACAGGAAGTGGTCAGCAATGAGCTGCTCCTGCTCCTTGTCAGTCATGTCCTTCAGTGGGTAGTACTTGCCCTTGAACTCACCATCCAGGCTGTTCAGAGCTGTGAGAGGACCATAGTGAATGTCAGTATCATCTTGCATGTTGTGTGGATATCGAGACAACATAAGGCTGATACATACCCTCAATGGACAGCTTCTCCACAGCTCTGCGCTCACCACGGCTGTTGTGAGGAGGCAGGGTGAATCCCTTGATGCTGCGGCCGGTACGTACGCGGCTGCTCAGAACGTAGTTGGGGTCAAGATCATCACCACCCTGTGCACAGGTAGACATCAGCCAGTGTAGAGCAAAACAGCTGTCATTGTACAGAACTTTAGCATACCTTCAGGTTCTCCCAGTTCAGATCAGTAAGATGCTTGTCGGTGGGCTTATAGCCACCATGACGGTCAGAAATGACGGGGTCGAACAACTCCTTGAAGGCTTCATAGGACTCCTCATCCCCAGCCACACAGCCGACAGTCATGATGAAGGGGTGACCTTGTATTAGAAACAAAGAGCAGTACTTCATATATCATTGCTTGAGCTATCTTAAGAGACTTGTATGGGAGATTGTAATCAAGTGTTCTGGGGCCTAATGGTGAGAGATGGACTTGTGATCCCAAGGTCGCAGGTTCAAGTCTTGGGACCAGCAATGATTGTAGGTGAGCAAAGTGAATATCCAGCACTCTCACCACCCTCAAAACCATGGCTAAGGTGATTCCCTAAGGTGAACAGCTATTTACCAGCCCACAGTCATGTCTACTGTTCATGTGTGTGAGTCACTTTGGATAAAATTGTCTGTTAAATGCTTAAATGTAGTGCTTACCAGGGTTGTCCACACCAGTCTGGATGCAGTCATCAAGGGTGAATCCACTGGGGGTTGACTTGCTCCTGAGCTTGTTGTAGATGTCCTTGGTGAGGACCTTGGACATATGGTTGTTGTGCTGGGAGAGGTCAGGAAACTCCTCATCCACAGCAAACTTCATCTTGTAATCGTTGTTGCAGTTCTTAGTCATGATTGCACTTTTCCGGCAATCTACCAAAAGACAAAGGAAGGCAAGTTAGGACAGGATCTAGAGAAAAGTCTGAAAGTCTTTCTGGCAAGGCCATTTTCAGACTGGACAACCAGGAATATTGTCCTAGGCCTACCAAGGTCCTTTATGGTGTAGCCTAAACTTTTGAGGAAAGAAGGGGAACCAACTGCACCGTTCTTTTTTATTTTTATGACAACCAATCGTTGTTAGTCAGGAATAAGCAGCAATAGTGTCCAGAATAAGATGCCAGACAAGGTTAGTACATACGATATTTTGTCCCAAGTAAACTTCAGTCTCTTAGTAACAGAACATGTTCCCCTGTCTATGCGGCACCTCATATTTCTACATGGAGTGGTTGCTGCATTGCTTGCATGCTTATATGCATCAGACAGCAGATGATATTTTTAGCGTAGCTGCCAAACTCACTCCTGTCACTTACAGCAAACAGCATATTGACCTCTCTCATTTCTGCAGGGGTGGAGTTTCCACAATCGCCCCATAGTTAGTTTTAAATCCACATCAATTTTGCTTTTATGAAAATTACTATTTAAATAATTGAGGTGTAATATCTTTTTTCAGGAGTAATAAACAGCTTTGTGCATACAGTTCCAGAGAAAAATAATCCAATGTCTGAGGCCTTATAAATAGTCTTATAGTCTGTAAAATTCATTAGCCGTAAATCCTATCACACATGACATGACCTTGCACCGAAGCAGGTGTCAAGCCTCCTACCAAAGATGACAAATCTACTTTAGACTGCACTCTTAGATTTCTCATGCATTATAACTTTAAAAAAAAAAAAAAAAAAATCAGACAAGGACAGTCTACATATCTAGCATGAATTAAGCAGTTTTTAATATTTATTAATGATAAATATATACTCTAGAAAATAAGATAAACCACAAGAGTTCAGGCTTGTATGATGTTTTCAATCATTAACACAATTATAGTGTGACTAAATTGAGTGGGGAATACGTAGGTTCAACCAAACTGAAACTCCTATAGAAAATGTCCTTTTTGCTGAAGAATTTCATGTTTCATCAAGTACCCCTTATTACCACCCTTGTAAAATCTCTTGAGTTTACCTGTATGGGAGAAAAGGTAACAGTCCTTGGGATCAGATCCTGTTCACCAAGCCAATGTAGGGGTTGCCCAACTTTGCAAGACGTCAGACCTTGGTTTATATACTTCAATGTTTGCTGCCCATTGGTTGTCCCGCTCCTGCATGCTTGAACTTCATTGGATAGCTGCACTTCTTGATGGGGGTTTCAGGTTCTAAAAGGAAAGAAGCTACATCACAACACCCGAGAAGGGGAGACAGCTGTCCCCACCCCACGGTAACCTATTCCTCTGTGCTCAGTTATGAAATAAACTGTAGGCACTGCTGAAGGTTCATTTCCTCATTTCAATCAACTGTATTGGTTATTGATTTAATCATACTGTTGGGTTGTGCACATTGCAATTTTTTTGTCAATATTCTGAAGGAAACTGAAAAAGATAAAAAAAATTTAAGTAAAATGAATCAAGATATTCTAAAGTTCTTTTGAATGCATGAGTTAAAATAGAGATTGAAATCCCTACTTTTAATATTACAAAATATTGTTTACTTGTGTAGTAGTTTGTATGAATGACATTCCTTACTCATCTCCCTTGAAAGACATACAATGCTTTCAAGAGTAGGCATCGTGTCCCTTGATATGAAGACACTTTGTACTGTACCAAAGTGTTCTCAGTGTCCAGTTGGTGAGCTCTGCTGTGTAAAATCGTTACATATACAATCCGTGACTATGGCAACATTTCAAAGATTTATTTATTGGACCTTAGAGAATATGTGAATATATGATACTTGCGTGGTTTGATTTCCCTCATCTGGTTGGTAGCATATGATATTATGCGATCCTGTGCCTACCTTTTTTTAGCTGGTCTGATTGAGCAATGTCAAAGGTTCAGCAATTAAAATTCATTTCATTTCAAGAGGCAAATATTTGCTTAGGTCTGGATAGCACTCATTTGGATTTTTTTTTCTGGATCACTTGATGTGAAGCAATGACTTATCAGTCAGTCTGTAACCAGTGTCCTGAGAATATATACTCAACTTTTTATCTTTATATGTCAAGGATTGACCTTTGTGAAGTGTCCTTAAGCTTGTAAAAAGTATACGGCCTAATGGTCTTGAAGCTAAACCAGAAAAGTGGACATCCACAAATGCAACAAAACTGTCAACTTTACAACCCTCTAGAGTTTATCAAAGTAGGTAAACCTCCAGTGTTTATCTGCTAGATCTTCGGTGGTTTTGTCCCTGGCAAATGCTTTAGCACATGACCGTGGCTGTGACAGGTGGTCCTAATGCTCAGAAAGCCTATGGGGAAAAGACTATAACAGCAGTGAAGTCTGTGAAAATGTGAGTACAGTACAGAAAGATGGAAGGGGACAAAACTCAACCCTTCCCCCTACTCTATATTAAAACCTGGGATCCAGTTTCACAGTTGCACCCTGCTTGTGTGTTCCAATGTGACAAAATTAGTTTAACCATTATCCCCTTCGTGCCTATCTGCCAAATCCTGCCAGATCCTGTGTGTATAAACATATTGATGTGTTCTCAAATCTTGTTTTTACAGGTTTATTTTAGGATATGGAAAATTCCTGAATGAAATTGCTATGCCAAATATCTTATGATGTTTTGATTTTAGTATTTAATGGGTTTGTATACTATAATGCAAGAGACTTTGTATTTGTTGAAGGAGTTAAATGGGGAAAGGGGAAAAAACAAACTCCAAAATTAGCCACTATGCATCCAACACCATAGCACGCTTAGCAGTGCTAGCTACGAGGGTGTATAAAAGGGAGTTGGGGGTCCCCATGAACAGGGAAAACCCCCTTATCTCATAACAGGTTAAACGTATGTATTTGAGGTAATATTGGTGGGTTGGGGGTGCTGCACATGCAAGTTTCACATCTGCACACTTCTAAACTTTTTTAACATAGGATCTGAGAACTTTCTAAACATTTGACTTAGGGTTTTCAACAGCTGTTTGGGATGAAGGTATGTAGAGGGGGGTCATAATGGCACCTTCTTTGGGCCCCGTGTGTAGGGCATGACCTCTGAAAGGCCTGAGTCAAAAATACCGCCAACAAACTTAGCTTAGTCTTTGCCATGGTACAGTTTTGTTTGGTACATGCTATTGTACAGTCAATGCCTCAGAAATGAGAGTAATATTTTAGTATTTTGCACTTGTCAATACCTGTCCACACATTGTTGTATAACTCAGTCAGCTGAGATAAATTTAGCAGTATGTGTATGATGCTCTTCTGAAACTGATAGCTGTTGTATTTTAGGATTGTACGCTGCATATGCTTTCAAACAAATTTACATGTGACACAAGAATTCAAAATGTGGTTGGTCTCCACTTCAGGTTTTAATGTTGAATGTTTAACCCAACCAACTTAACATTCAGTTTAGCCAATAGTGATGATCTGCTGGAGCCCAGGCAAATGTAATGAGAGATGTAATTGTGCTACACTGTGGTATTAACTGACAGCCAGTTCATTCCATTTAATCTTAAGTAAGTCAGAGTGGTGACCCATAAACATATGAAAAATGTGTAGGACTAATTATGATCAGTTCTATTAGACCAGGGGTGTCCAAACTCAGTCTTAGAAGGCCGGTGCCCTGCAGATTTTAGTTCCAACCCCAATTAAACACACCTGAACCAGCTAATAAAGCTCTTTCTAGGTATACTAGAAACTTCCAGGCAGGTGTGTTGAAGGAAGTTAGAGCTAAACTATGTGGGACACTGACCCTCCAGGATTGAGTTTGGACACCTGTATTAGACATTCCATTGTCTCTGGGCTGCGCCTGTTGTTGCACCCACTTCGAATGTTATCACATGATTCAATGGGCATTATAAGTGGTTATCAGCTGATAGATATGGGCTAGAAGGGGCCTTCTGTGCCTACTATTATCATCCATCCACATGGTTAATCAGCTATGCTAATAGAGAAGACTCCAGATCCAGATCTGCTTTTACATTACTGTGGCGGTTGGGGTAGGGGTAGACATTATTAACATACAAATAATTGGAAATTTAATAAATAATATAAATAATACTTGTTAACTTCTGGCCGGATGTGATCTATAGCTGATTAACCATGTAATAACAGCCTTCTGAGGATGATAACAAGATGATAGGATGATAACAGCCTTCTGAGCCTACCAGCCCCTACTGGCCCATATCTATCAGCTGATAACCCCTGATAACACCTAGTGAAAGCACTCATTGCCATGCACAAGTACTGTTGAATAAATAAAGTCAAGTGCCAAGTTCTGACTGAGCTGGAAAGCCAGTGAATGAAAAGTATAAGACTGGCAAACATCATTTTGATTGCAATACTTTTGTTTTATTACAATGTAGAAATGAATGAGTATCATGTGTTTGGTCAGTAGGTGGAGAGTAGGTGGTCCTTCGTGGCTGTTGGAATTGGACCACATGAGTGTTTACATTAGCTAGGCACTCTACACTCTAGTGTGTTTATGACTTTGAAAGTGGTCAAACTGCTTTGGTTCCTGTTCATATCTGTTATGTCTTCATAACTCCGCAACTGCTATGGAGGTAAACAATATATAAATATAGAGATTAATGTAAGATTTCCTGAATATCCTGTTTGTTATTATTCTAAAAAGAGTGGTTTTAAGCATATTACATAAGTTAAATTAAAAAAGAGCACTGGTCAAATTTAGAGAACAGCAACAAGTGTAGCATGAAGGAATATTAAGAGTTTTGAAGGTTACAACAGTGAAAAACAGGCCCTTGTTTTGAATGATGTGAGCACATCTCCTCTCTCTTCTGCAATATTCATTCATTTTCTTTTGGCTTGATCCTTCAATAATCAGGGGTCGCCACAGCGGATTGAACCGCCCACTGTCCCAATTCAAAACTAGTTTTAAGACCTATCTTTTTAGTAAAGCATACACTTAGTGCATCATTTAGCGGTATGATACATGAATGTGCTCCACACAGGTTTCTGCATCTCGTTTATATACACTACGAACAGCAGCTACGCTAATTATTCTCTTCATTCTCTATTTCCATCTGGGGATACTCTTCCTGAGGCTCTCAGACTATGCTGCGATTGATCCAAGACCAGCGATGAGATGTTCCCAAGGTCTCCATATCCTGGACCAGGCCGTATCGTGAGCAGCTGCTGTGGTGGTTATAAGACAGTGGAGCGCATGAGACTGATTCCTGTGACGCTCCAGGGACAGATGAGTCTTGGCTGAGGTCCAGCTTCCAGCCTCCCGTGCCTTGACTTCAGCTCTGCACAAGACATTTGGCCCGTGAAAAAATGGTCGTGCCCAACTGAGCCTGCTTTCTCTCAAGGTTTTTTAATTCTTCACTTTCACCGACTGCGCATCGATGGATTTGCTCTTCAGTGTTTGGACTCTCAGTAGTGATTATTAACCACACTGAACTAGGCTAAACAGAACTGAACTTAAACTCTGAAAACTGAACTACACTGATGTAATTTACTATGATCTATAATGTGAAGCTGCTTTGACACTATCTACATTGTAAAAGCGCTATACAAATAAAGATTAATTAAATTGAATTGAACCGCCAACTTATCCAGCATATGTTTTGCACAGCGGATGCCCTTCCAGCTGCAACCCAGTACTGGAAAAACACCCATGCACTCTCATTCACACACATACACTATGGCCAATTTCAATAGCATCTGGATGCAGCCTTTATGATGCAAGCTGAGATTGCATCACTCAGCGATGCATTGTCAGACACAATGCACTATGGACTATGGAGTGAGTGACATCACTGTGATGGGTAGGGTTAGGGGTGAGGTTAGGTGAGCATTGGGTTAAAAAGCATTGGATGCAACTCAGATTGCACTGCACCAAGTCTGCATCTAGATCCCTCTTGCCAATTAAGCTTTTTCACTTCAACTGTACCGCATGTCTTTATACTGTGGAGGAAACCAGAGCACCCGGAGGACACCGACGCGAACAGAGAGAACATGCACACAGAAATGCCAACTGACCCAATCGGGGCTCAAACCAACAATCTTCTTGCTGTGAGGCGATCATGCTACCCACTGCGCCACCGTGACACCCTCCTCTGCAATATACTGACTGTAATATCTCTTAGCCCTCATTCTGTCGCTATGATGTTTTCAGTCAGGTTTAGATCAGGACTCTGGGCTGTCCTTTCATTATTTCAATGTTTTCAGCTGCTTTATCTATTTGTGACAGTGATCATTTTCTCGCAGTAACATTTCTCGCAGATTGAACTGTAAGTTGTTGAAGCAGCTTCTGACATACATTTGCATACACTCTTCCATGTAGCTATCTAAGAGACCCAACTCGTGCTGCCTCTTATCCTGTCCTCTTATGCATTTGTCTCTGTGGGTTTCCCTCAAGTGCTCTGGCTTCCCCCACAGTCCAAAGACCTGCAGTATAAGTGGATGGACTAAATTGCTCGTAGTGTATGAGTCCGTGTGTGAATAAGAGAGTGTGTGGGTGTTTCCCAGTTCTGGGTTGCGGCTGAAAGGGCATCCACTGTGTAGGACATATGCCAGCGTAGTTGGTGGTTCATCTCGCTGTGGCGACCACTATTAAATCAGGGACTAAGCTGAAGGAAAATTAATGAACAGAGCTACAGTAGCTTCCCTGGTTGTAGCAAATTCGTAGCCCTTTTTACAGATGATTATATGCACAAGTTGCCCAGAAATTGAGGATTTGACTGTGAGACATATTGCTTTATTCACAATTAATGCAATGTTCTAATTTTTTATAATTTTAAAGTCATATGGTTTATCGCTAAGGTGCCAGGTATGCTCTTGTTTTACTGTCAGCATAATGGTCACGTTAATTATTTAATAATAAATAGATTTAAACAAGTGGTTGTGAACTCACAGTGCATGCACATCCGCAGCAACCTTTTCCCTTGAAATCAGAGTTGGTCAGCTGGCTTACGCTACAGGCACTATGTTTAGTGCTAGGTTGCAAGGCTGTCTCTTTCCCCATGCCATCTCACCAGATTGAATTGCACTGACTCAGTTATGAGTCCCTCTGTGTGTCTGTTCCACTCTATGCCTGTCCGTTAACCTTTGCCCTTAGACCTCAGACCAAAATGCACTTATACACATAAAATACCAGTCTCCTGCTCCAGATGTGATATTTTTACTGTGCTTATATAGAGGGGATCTGCACATCTTTGTGAAAAGTTTGGTTACTTGTGAAAAATTTGGTTGTGAAATATTGCTGGATAGCATTGATGAGTCACATGTTTTAGCGCTAAGGTGCCAGATATGTTCTCACTTTGCTTTCGCTGTCAGTGAAAAGGTCAATGAACATTTGATTAATATACTGACACTTTGCTTGCTCTCTATAGCGTTACGTCTTCCACACCTGTACAATCAGTCAATATACAATTAACCAGATCTGCAGTTGTCAACATTTAAAGTGGATCAAATTGTCTTTCAAAATTGTCCTAAGACAAGAATGGGTCAAAAGCATAGGTTTTGATTCAATTCAGATGTTTACAACTGTACACATCATGCATTGCTTCAGAAGTCCTCCTTGAAAGCGCTTGTATAACATCTAGAAATAACAGCTGCTCTTTGCATCACCTGTGGAGGGGCTTCATGCAGACATGTTCATCGCATTCTCTCTGCTTCACACTGTTCTTAGAATGGTGTTTGTATAAAGCCCAAAACCCCTCATTTTTAAGAAACATTTTAGTCCTCAGAATAATTAATACCAAAGCATGCATATGTGACCCTGGACCACAAAATCATTCATTAGAGTTGATTTTAGTAAATTGAGAATTATGTATTCATACATTATATTCGAACGTTAAATAAGCTTTCCGTTTATGTATGGTTTGTAAGAATATGATCATTTTTGGCCAATATTTAACTATTTGAATCTGAGAGTTCAAAAATTAAATATTGAGAACATTTTCTTTAAAGTTGTCTTAATTAAGTTCTTAGCATTGCACATTACTTATATAAAAAAAAACTGGATTTAATATATATACAGTAGAAAATGTAGAAAAATCTTCTTTTCGTTTCATAGAAGATTATTGTTTCTTGATCTTGTAGTTATTTCTAGAAGAAAAATTATAATTTTGACCCATAGATTAATTTTGGCTATTACCACAAAAACATCTGTGCAATATAAGAATAGTTTTCTGTTCCTGGGTCACATATTTGTATTGATTAACAATACATTTCAATTGATAGAGAGATAGGAATGACAGATACAAGTCCTGCACAGTGGCCGGAAAGATTTTGAGCCATTCTTCTTGCAGAATAGTGACCAAGTCACTATGTGATGCTGGTGGAGGAAAATATTTCCTTACTCACTCCTCCAAAACACCCCAAAGTGGCTCAATAATATTTAGATCTGGTGACTGTGCCTGCCATGGGAATTCTTCAACTTCACTTTCATGTCCATCAAACCACTCCGTCAGTAGTTCTGCTGTGTGTATTGGTGCATTATCATCCTGATACATGGCACAGCCTTCAGGATACAATGTTTGAACCATTGGGTACATATCGTCCTCCAGAATGATTCAGTTGACCTTGGCAGTGGCGTGCTCATCTAGCACAAAACCTTGGGAATCCCATAATACTGCAGCCCAAACCATCATGAATTCACGCTTATGCTTCACTCCTTCTAGGTGGTATGCTGCGTCGATACCTGGCTCTTGATACAGCACAAAAAGCTCACAGATGCACAAGCAAGATGCGCACCAACAATTTGTCCTCTTTTGAGCTCTGATATGTCATCCATAATGTTGTGTGCATTGCAAAATGTTAAGCAAAACTGTGCTATCACACTGCTAATTAAACCTTCACACTCTGCTCTTACTGGTGGAATGTGCAATCAATGAAGATTGGCCATGAGGCTGGTCAATTTTAGTCATGAAACCACCAACATTAAATAGGCCAGTGTTTTAGTTTCATTGTCCAACTCCTGTATGTTTATATATGCACTTTCTTTATTCCCCACATCTTCTTCAGTCATGTTGTGCTTTATTTCCTACCTTTAAAAAATAATGTTTGATTTTCCATATCAGACCCAAAATTGATTATGATTGTGGGTTAAAGCTCAAAAAACTGCTTTGGGTAAATTGTGGACAAACCAAATATTGGGTTCATTTTTTTTTACCCACATTTTTTTTACGTTTTGTTTTGTCCATATTTCGCCCCAAGTTGTGTTAAAACCACTCATCATTTTTAAGTAATATTTAGACATTTCAATGAACAGCTCACTGGATTTGTTATACATCCTGAATTTGTATTTTGCTGACAGTTTCGACCAGGAATGTCCTCACATACAGAGTCATGCCAAAGTGTGTTTAACCAGACACAACAGAGTGAGCGAGAGAGAGAGAGAAAAGTGTTTTGGTGTTTTTTGTATTGACTTGGCCTCATCACATTTGGAGCAATAGATTAACTCTCTGCCTGGTTGAGAACACTAAACTGGCCCAGCCAAGCTGCCCTTATTGGGAGTAGATCTGCCCTCAGCTCAGCTCCTCTAGCAGCTGAACCATTAATCACTCAAGTCTCATATATCTGCTTGCAGTTGCTCCATCTCCTTCCACTTCATATCCCACCTCTCATTTTTCTTCACACAGTTTTTTACTCTCTCTGTGTCTCATTATTACTATAATTCCTTTGGTTGATGCATTCTGAACTCCTTCCTTGCTCTCAGCTCTACAGGCTGTGATTCAACAGAAGTTTAACTGAAGACGATTCCTAGATGTCTCCTGATCTGCACAGTGCCTGTGGTTGAGTTAAGTCTGTCTGATGGGTCCAAGGCTAATGCTACTTATTTTACACACCCAGACAACACCCCCTCCCTCTCACCCCAACTCACCCTAAGCGGCTTTATTGAAACTATGCCAGTGTGGCGTCACAAAGAGACTCCTCCTTCTACATAGACTCTCTGAACTGATTTGTGACTGTCTGATGTAACAAACAGATTTACTGGGCATCTGCTATAAGTCTTTTTAATGTTTAATATACAAGTCATTTTAAACAGCTTGTTGTCATTATTGCATATAATGCCCAAAATGCTATCTGCAGGAAACTCTTTTCCCCGCCTAATGTTTTAAAATAGTGGACTGCCTCATATTTGTTGCCATCAGTGAAATAATCAAGCAATTACACAAAGGTTGCACTGTCATAACTCAAATGTACCTTCATTTATTTATATCTAATTTTATTTGTATACATTACGAGTATGATACACTCTCAAAAATAAAGTTACGTGAGCTGTCACTGGGGTGGGTCCTTTTCAAAAGGTACACATTTGTACTTAAAGGGTCTATACTGGTAACTCAAAAGTACGTATTAGTACCTGAAAAATTAAAGACGAACACTTTTGTACTTTTTAGATACTAATATGTACCCTTGAGGTATTCATATGGACCTTTTAGGTACACAACAGGTACCACTCCAGTGAGAGCTCGCATATATTTATTTCCCAGAGTGTAAAGCAGACTGTCTCTTACTCAGATATTATATATAATATTTTAAATGTTTATCAAAGTACAAGACACCATCAGGTCAGGGTTACACACATAATAATGACACTTAAATGATGCAATAAGCATTACGTTTAAGTAAATAACATTAATTAAATGTAACATTAAGCATCCCAATATAATAACAAAATATAAAAGAGGCAAACTATTAAAATAAAATACAGTCATATGCATGAGTAATGGAATTAATTGTACCATAATTTAGCTTTCTTTCTTACAAAATCTATGAGTAAATTTTATTTGTGCATATAATAAACCCTTTAATTTTTACTTTTTAAATAAGCTTTTACTCATACTTTTGTATTTATTTTTATAAGGAAAACTCTTTTGGGGGAAAAAAACATGCCTATATGTTTTGGCATGAAAAATAGGTTATTACGTGGAACATTAACTTGAGAGTATTCATGCTAAAATGATAGCCAACATAAAAAATTATAATAATTTCAATGAAATGTAAAAATATTAAATGTTAAATGTAATGTTCAATTAATGTTTAAATATTCATTGCACAAGGGTTCTTTACTTGTATTGATGCTTTCACGTAGAAATGTTATGACTGGAAATATTTAATTCATTAACAAAATAGAGAGCCTTTCTTGGTGGTTTTTGTTAGCCGCAGTTCTGCTTGTCGCCAGTAGATGGCCTGTGGTGCGCCGCGCAGCCGCCGTAAATAGTGTGAACTGACGGATCAGGTAAGAGCTGTTAATTTATCCTGTCTGCGACACAACAGCAGGTGAATGAATGACCGCAACCGAGGCTTTACTTGGTTATTTTACCCCCATTGTTGACCTCTACATCATGGAATTAAAGATGTAATGTGGAATATTCCACTCGGAATTCTCTGGCTTTGAGTTTTGACGCGTCGCAGACTCTTGTCTGACTTGCAGCAGGTAAATAAATATCATCTGTTGACAGTCACTGGCAGATAGTCTCTTTATACGAGCTGACAGAATTTACAGCTTTACTGTTGCTTTAATAGACTATAACTCTCTTTCATGGCCTGTGTTTGTTTTCCTGAATTAGCCTTCGTTTCGTTACTAACTGCTAATCTGATGAAGTCAGCATATTTAGTTCATTTAGTACATATATAGTTCATTTATCATCCATAAAATAATGGATATTTTCATTTAATTCGTGCATTTTAGACTGTATGTAGAATACAGTGCTCAGCATAATTGAGTTCAACCCATTTTGAAAATGAATATGTGCATCCATTTCTCAGTAAATATGAGCTATGTATTTTGGTGCATTTAAACAAAACAGATTTATTAAACAGATATATTTATTAAAATTATATTTTAGTCAACACATATATTTAGAAATTGAAAGGTAATACAATTAAATTCAAGCCAAATATTGCTAAATGAATTACACATTTACAACATGCAACATTTCTAACAATTTTTCTGTATTTTTTTTTTTTTTTTGCTTTTTTTTAAATTGTAAAAAAATGTTTACATTAAAAAAAATATTTAATACTTTTCTATAACATATCAATTTAGGTGTACTAGTTTTTGCACAGTTATCATAAGTTATTTTGTTCAAAAAGCTTCAGATGTGGCTTCAGTACTGACTAAACTAATGTATATGCACACATAATATTGTATAGCTTTCTATTAATAATATGAATTTAAAAGATAGATTTGTGAGGGGATATGCTGAACACTGTATATGTAGTATATATATATATATATATATATATATATATATATATATATATATATATATATATATATATATATATATATATATATATATATATTTCTATGCTATTCATACTATATATTCATTTTTATATAAATATATAAAGCATACACTGCATTCAAGTGTCAAATCAGATTGATCATAGATTTTTTGTTGTTATTATTTACACACACACTCCTTTTAATTCAAGCTTTCATGACTGTTTTGCTTACATTTTATTTCCTTAGACTTAACTTTTATTCTTCTATTCTATTCTACAAGTTTTGTATTCTGAGTGCTCTGAAGCAATGCAATATAATATACTTAAATTTAGTATATAGAATTTATGAATATGACAGCTTGATATATATAACACTAATGATATTAGCTTTTTTGTTAGCAAACTTTATTTTAATGATGCTCTTGATCTCTTTTTAACCTTCAGTCGAGTCCATGATTAGATCATTTTCTTCTTTGATGTTTGAACTGGAGCTATTAAATTAAAGTATTTAATGTAATTTTCAAAAGCTTTTCCAGCAGCAACAACAGCCAAAACAGAGAAATATAACCCAATTTAGAACAAATCTAGGTTAGTCGTTAGTCTGCTCCACCCTTTAAACACGCCAAACTGGTATCTAAATTCATTTATCTTTGTTGTTGTTAAATTACTTGATTAATTAAGCTTAAAAGCATGTATCTCGTGTTTGATGACCTCATCGGCCTGGCGTAAACATTAGCTCAGTCCTTTACCTCCCCAGAGTGATGTCTGTTCCTACCTGTAAACTGATGCTTACTTAGCAACCCTTACCTAGTGAATGTTTTCCTCTGCTGGGACGGAAGAGAAGCTTCACTTCACTTTCAAGGCTGAAGGCAGTTCCTGCTCTTACTCTCTTAAAGAGACAGTTCACCCAACACTGAAAATGATGTCCTCATTTATTTTGTTCATAACCTGTTTGACTAACTTTCTTATGTTGAACACAAAAGTAGATATACTGAACAAAGCTGGTAGAAGCCTGTATTGACTCCCATATTGTTTGTTTTTCCTACTATGAAAGTCAGTGGTTGGTTTCTCACATTCTTCAAAATGTCTTCTTTAGTAATTAACGGAATAATGAAAGGTTTGGAACCACTTCCGAGTTAGTAAATAGTGAGTAAATTTTCATTTTGGTGTAAAACTATCCATTTGAAAGTAAAATTGTTATTTTCAGAGCACTGTGTACACTTCTTTAATCAACATGTGTATCGCTGATATGAACATGTCAATCAAATGTAGTTGTTTTTGTTATCGCATTAGAGAATGCATCTTGATTATTATGTTTTCTTTCTTTGCAGCTTTGCATCTTTACTGTGAATTAAGGTCAGTTTTCAATATTCCATGCTGTTTGTGATGTAAAGTTACGTGTGAGGGTGTCTGCACATTTGTCTTCCCATTTTCTTGCTGACTTAATACCTGTGAAGATTCTTAAAAGTATGTCTATGTTGCTTCCCACAAAATTATGAGCATTCTAGTGCTAAATGAAATAAAAGATGGTATGAGGGGAACATGGTGGCGTAGTGGGTAACATGATTGCCTTACAGCAAGTAGGTCGCTGATTCGAGCCCCGGCTTGGTCAGTTGGCATTTCTGTGTGGAGTTTGCATGTTCTCCACGTGTTCGCGTGGGTTTCCTTCGGGTGCTCCGGTTTCTCCCACAGTCCTAAGACATGCACTATAGGTGAATTGAATAAGCTAAATTGGCCGTAGTGTATGTGTGTGAATTCAAGAGTGTATGGGTGTTTCCTGGTGTTGGGTTGCAGCTGGAAGGGCATCCGCTACATAAAACATATGCTAAATATGTTTGCGGTTCATTTCACTGTAGAGACTAAGGGACTAGACTATGCCGAAAAGAAAATGAATGAATATTGTTACAATCTCTCTTTAAAAATGGCCCGTCTTAAACAGAGAGAAAGCAACATAAAAAAAATGTATGAAAATATATTGCAAAAATATTTCTTTAATATGTTGTGGATCAGCTATACTGTATAGTGACTGCAAGGTACTCAGAAATGACTACTTGGTAGAGTATCTTAGTTTTTGTACAGTTACAGTAAGGTACCAAAATAAAACGTTGAACATGCAATTAAGCAGTAACTTGAAAAGAGAAGATAAAATATTAGATACATTTTTCACACAAAGAAATATTGAAATGTTCTTCTATGCAGTAACTTTTGATTTAATTATTGTGTCTAAATTTATCAAAATTTTACTATTAAAAACTGACATCAAACCTTTGAACAGTGGTGTAAATGTTACCTCTTTACATGTACGAGCAAATTTAGTTTTACCCTTCAATTTTCTACTTTGAATAATCGTTTCCATCATCAAAACCAACTCTCTCTAAAACTTGATGCAGTTACGGTTGAATGAGTGGTTGGAATGATCATGCACTTTTAGTTTGTAGCTTCAAGATGAGTACTAGTGCTGATATAGCACTAGCATACAACTCATCTTGGCATAAAACCACAAGTTTGAAGAACGTGCCACCCCCCAGCCAATTCAGTTTAATTTATTCTCTCTTTCTTTTATTGTCGTAATTTATTTTACCTAACACACCATGCTGCTGACCTCAACTTTCGGTACTGACCTGTTTATATGCTTAATTTGTAAAATGAATGCACATCGTGTATTGTTTATGCACATCATATTCCGTTTGTTGCACAATAAGAGGATTATAGTATGGTTTATTTTTATTCTTTGAATAAATTTTGTATGGTTATCTATCTATCTATCTATCTATCTATCTATCTATCTATCTATCTATCTATCTATCTATCTATCTATCTATCTATCTATCTATCTATCTATCTATCTATCTATCTATCTATCTATCTATCTATCTATCTATCTATCTATCTATCTATCTATCTATCTATCTATCTATCTATCTATCTATCTATCTATCTATCTATCTATCTATCTATCTATCTATCTCACTGTCTCTCTGTCTGTCTGTCTGTCTATCTATCTATATATCTATCTGTCTATCTATCTATCTGTCTGTCTGTCTGTCTGTCTGTCTGTCTGTCCGTCCATCCATCCGTCCGTCCGTTCGTCTATCTATTCATCCATCCATCCATCTATATATCTATAAATAAAACAAATAAGACTTTCTCCAGAAGAAAAAATATGATCAGACATACTGTGAAAATGTCCTTGCTCTGTTAAACATCATGTTTCATTTGGGAAATATTTAAAAAAGAAAAAGAAATTCATAGGGGGGCTAATAATTCTGACATCAACTGTATATATATATATATATGTGTAGTGTGGGCCATTTATATGGAGACACCTTAATAAACGTATTGAAAAAAAAAACAATGGTGTGGTAACTTTATTCTTTCATGAATTATTTAGTTAGGATTACCTAAATGATTTACATTTGCTAAATGCCAGAATAATGAGAGTTTTTTTGAGAATGTTTTATTAAATTCTAGAGAGTCAAAAGTTTACATACAATTCCTTGGTATTTTTTAACTGTATAACTTGGGTCAAATGTTTTGGGTTTGAGCTTTTTACAATAGTTTGAAGGAATTTTGGCCTGTTCCTCCTGACAGAACTGGTGGGACTGTGTTAAATTTGTTGTGTTGTCTTACTCGCACAAGCTTTTTCAACTCTGCCCACAAATTTTCTATAGGATTGAGTTCAGGGCTTTGTGATGGCCACTCCAAAACATATATCTGTTGTCCTTAAAGCACATTTTAACTGATTTGGCAGTATGGTTGGAGTCATGGTCTGTTTGGAAGACCCATTTGTGGCCAAGTTTTAATTTGCTGGCTGATGTCTTGAGATGTTGCTTCAGTATTTCTACATAATGGTCTTACTTCATGATGCCATCTTTGCTGTGAAGTGGACCAGTCCCTCCTGCAGCAAAACAGCCCCATAACATGATGCTGCCGCCCCCATACTTCACAGTTGGGTTGGTGTTCCAAGGGTTGTAAGCTTTTCCCTTTGTCCCACAAATGTAACACTGGTCATTATGGCCAAACTTAGTTCCTTCAGACCACAGGACATGTCTCCATGGCTTTTTTCCCCAGTGTAATTTAGCAAATTGTAATCTGTCTTTTTTTTGTTAATTCTGGCTTGTTGATTTTCCCATGTTGTCACAAAAGGAATCAGTGGGTTTGAGGTTTTCCTTAAATACTATTCTACAGTTGTGCCCCCAATTAACTCAAATGTTGTCAATTAGCCAATCAGAAACTTCCAAAACCTTGACAGATTAACCTGCTACTGCTTCTCCAATCAGGTAGGAAAATATTAAAGAAATGTGGATAATGTGTGGATGATTGTCAGGGCTCATTACTAAGCAACACAACAATCTGTTAACGAGGAAATAGAAGGTCCCAAAGCTTCCTGTTACACAGTCAAAAGTATTTACTTTTCCCTCACAAAAAAGTACATACTTTTAGGGCATAGTATAAGTATGCGAATTGGGGCGCAGCAACTGTTAGTGTATAATGCTCTCTTACATGCTGTGCGACTTAATGTGCACATTAATTACACAATAACACCATATGTATATTTTTCTGTCCAGGGTCTGAGTGTCAGACATGCTGTCAGGGGAGGAGATCTTATGCAGCACCCAGCAGGTGATCGCGGGGCTGGAGGCTCTTCGTGGAGAGAACCGCACACTTCTGGACAGCCTGCAGGAAACACTCCAGAGCCAGACGTCCAGTGAGAGCAGCCTGGAGCAGGAGAAGACCAGCATAATTCTAGAGTCTCTGGAGAGGATCGAGCTGGGCTTAGGAGAGGCGCAAGTGAGCAGTACACTCATCTTTATTCACATTAAAACAGTCCTTCTAAAATCAAGAAAAAATCTGGGAAACTAGTTGGGGGTTTTCATTACATGCCATGTGATGTTGTCACTATTATTATCATTCAGCCAAAGTCCACTTGAAGATTGTGTTTTGATTTCTTGATTTCTACACTTCTTGTTGCTTCACCTAACCATTTGTCACTGTTTCTGATTGCACAATTTAAAAAACTCTATACATCAGGCTTTTAGTGACCCATGTGATGTATGTTAAGAATAAGAAATAAAACAAGAGTACCGGCTCAAACTGGGCTAAAAGAACTTTTAAAAATAGCCATTTGTTACTGTTGTCATTTATGACCACAAATTTAGAACAATAATGTTTTCTCAAAAGTGTGACATACTACTTTAGAAAATGTACATAGATATAATCAAAGACTATATAATACACAAGACATGTCACTTGTATACTTTTTATTAGGGAAAAGTGTAACTGTCAATATGGCAAATGAAGCCCTGCCTACTAGTACAGGAGCCAATCAGCGATTACTATAGCATGAATAAAGCCCGCCTTCTAGTACAGGAGCCAATTAGCGACCACTATAGAATGACAATTCTACCGGGGAGGAATCAGACCAGACATGAGTTTCTGCAGATTTTGTGTGATATGAACATTTAGAAATGAAGCTAAATAGACAGTTGTTGTTCAATTTTATTGGTTATTTGTAATATGGAGATTAATCATAATCTTGGCTTTTTAGCTTTGGAGAATTTGATGTTTCCCTATTTAAACAGAATGCCTGAGCATACTGCCCGAAAGGCGTTTCAAGGTAGCAGCCGAGTGAAATTACTTGCCTTAAAGGGACTTTGTTATACAGTAATTTGTTGATCTAAAGCAGGGGTGTCCAAACTCGGTACTGTAGGGCACTACACTTTTCTCCCCATAGACCTCCATTCATACACAGGCGAATGCGTCAGACCAGAAACACAAGGTCGTGCGTCAAACTTTTCAGTTCACTGCGGTGCAAAGTTCAAGCTTGGTGAACTCTGACCTGAGAAATCGCATCCCACATGGCAAAATTTCTCTGGCCCAGCTCTGGCCCACACAATCAGGTTTTGCTTGGCCCACATGCCGCAGTGAATTACGGTACTTGACTGGACCAAATCTGGCTTCCAGACAAGGGCCAAACACGGACCATATCTGGGGCAAGTCTCAGCCAAGTTAATAACTCATAACTGGGCCTGAACCAGGCCAGATAGGTTGGTGTGTCACGATTGCAATGAAATTGATAAACCCATGGAGTGATGCACTTTAGGTACACTATGGGCACGCTTTTTCTCAAAGTGACCTGATTGGTAGAATTTTTTTTCTTTACTCAAAAATTATTTAAGTGTATTTTAAATGTGGGTCAAGACTGGCCAAACTCACATGGCCCAATTATCAAATTTTTAAATCTGGGCCAAATACTACGCTTTATATCTGGCCCAAATCTTGTGTGCCGCCTTAAAGACGGTGCCACCTCTGCCAAACCCGGGCCATGTTTGGCCCACATGCTGTATGCCAGTGCCGGATGAATGCCTGCTGTGCCAGCTTTATGCCAAATCTGGGCCAGAATTCTTTGCTACTAGGGATCACTTGACTGCGTGAGACCAAACAAGGATCAAAGCATGACCTCTCTGGACAGAAATTTTAAATATGGACCAATCGCTCGCTTTTTTAAATGTATAATCATGTTGTTTAATCTCGCCCCTTTTCGCAGTGCCGTATGATAGAATTTCGCATGCTCAAACTCGACTGTGACTGCAGAATTACTAGGCTTTCTTGAAACATCCTTGCAGGTGTGTTGAGGCAAGTTGGAGCTAAAATCTGCAGGACACCGGGCCTCCAGGACCGAGTTTGGAGACCCCTGATCTTAAGCATAGGTCTTAAATTCAATTCCTGGAGGGTTGCAGGTGTGCACAGTTTTGCTTTATGGTATGTTAGGGTATGTGTTCCCCTAATAAGTTCAGTGAGAGATGTTATTTACCCCATAGACTATAAAAAATATGGATGTAGTATCCGTGACGTCACCCATTGGTTTCTGACGAATGCAAAATAAGCTACAGGTAGGGGTGGTCAACCTTCGCCATTTTGTTCACGCATCATCACATCGACCAGGGGATACCAAACAAGGGCTCAATTGAAATTGCTCTATTATGGAGCGAGGACTAGCGGAATTTCGATATATTGCAGTTTCAGTTACTTCTGTATTTGCTTCACGAGGGAGAGCGGGAGGTTGCCGCTTGTTTACACCAAGTAAAAATAGCAGTATTTTCTTTTTAAATTATTCTACCTACACTAAGTTTGAATAGAAGTGTGAGGATTCAATCTAGGGTCATGTATACTTGCAAAATTAAAGGTTTGCAAACAAAAAAATAAAGTATTAAGCAAAAAATAAGAAAATAAATGCAAATCTCCAAAAATCTCAAAGTGAAAATTCATTTTTAACTAATAAAAATTAATTTTGCTAACAAAAATAAAGAACTGCAAAGGTAAAATTAAGTTTTGAAAAATAAAAATGAAATTTACTAACAAAAAAAGAACTGAAAATAAAAATCAAGCAGTGCGTTTATGGTAGGCCCGGACCTGCCTCCATTTAAGTGACATCATCACCTAGTATCACCGAGGTGCTCTTACAGCCCAGTAGGTCAGGGCGTAAACGACCAAGTTCTCTTGACCCTGCCCACTTGTGAAATCAGGGCCACAAAGTGAAACAGGCAGAAACGTGAAGTGCAAAGTGAAAAACTCATGTTTGACTAAAAAGCTAATCAAAGTGAGCATTGCAATTGACTGGATGGGTTTTGTAAAGGTAATGAGATAAAAAATCATTTGAAAAAAAAAAAAAAAAAAAAATATATATATATATATATATATATATATATATATATATATATATATATATAATAGGGATGTAACGGTATCAGAATTTCACGGTACGGTAATACCTCGGTATGAATGTCACGGTACGGTATTTATTGAATCATTTACAGGAAAAAAAAAACTTTTGAAAATACTCCAAAAAAGTGCCAAAAATGTCAATGACATACAAATTAGCCATCTATCTGTAAGCTTTGAAACAGGACCTTCAATTTTAATAACAAAAAATTATTAAACCATGTAAAAAAATAAAGTTTCAATTTAGTATTGTTGAAAACTCATCACATTCAACATTTAATCACTCACTTAGATAGAGATGGGTTTAAAGAAAAATTATCATATAATTATAATCTGGTAAAAGCTGGTATCTCTGGGTATTTACAATGTCCCCTGCAACAGAAAAAACCCCTCTCATTTGGGACTGAGGTTTCTGGGACAAGAGAGATATGACTTGGCCCATGTTGACAGCAGTGGGTAACGTTGTGCATTGTCTTTCCCCCACTTGAGAAGACAAACCATGAGTGAGATAGAGATCTCTTTGCGGTACAAGTCAATGTCTGCATCAATCTGAACAGTGCTGTGTTTCTGCAGTCCCCATGACTGTTATTAGTCGTATTCCCCAACTTGCAGGCACGTGCACACATAGGGCTCAACCTGTGCAGTGCACATGCCCTTTTTAGTCTTGGATAGAAAATGCCCTTCCAAAACGATCAAAAGTGCCCCCGCGACGCGACACAACCTCCGTCCAGTCCAGCCCTTCAGTAGGCGCGCGACAACACCTCTCTTGGTATGCGCGCTCAACCCCCCCCCCCTCGGCGCTTTACAATACGCGCGCCACAACACAGCTGATCAGAACGCGCGCGACAGCACCGCTATTCAGCACGCGCGCGGCGACAACACCCGCTTTAGGTTCGATCATTTCCATCTTTTTTTCATCTCCGCTACTAGCAGCACACTCCATTTCCGCATTACTGGATCTGTAGCGACAACAGACCGCAAAGGATTATGGCCACGCCGGGGCTGATGGGAAATGAAGTTTCAGCTACCTCCCGTTCGCTTCATTCGCCTGAGCAAATTTTCTCTGAAGATCTATAGTTTTACCGAGTCATGCGACTTCGGTAATATCGAAAAAATTTAATATTGCGGTATGACGGTATTTACAATACCGTTACATCCCTAATATATATATATATATATATATATATATATATATATGTGTGTGTGTGTGTGTGTGTTTTCTTTTTTTATTTTTATTTCTCAAAGCTTAATTTTTCCTCTGCAGTACTTTATTTTTGTTTGCAAAATGTATTTTTATTTTTGAAAAAAAATTGCTTTGCAATTTTTAGATATTTGCATTTATTTATTTACTGCTCAATATTTACTTTTTGTTTGAAAAAGTTTATTTTACTTTGCAAGGATATATGGTCCTAGATTGGCTTCATAGAAGTGTATTCTGATTACACTCTATGTAAAATAATATTTTGTGCCAAGTGCCAAAGTAGTGGCAGTAAGTAGTGACAAATATTTACAGCTCAGTATTACAGATACATTATGAAACAGTATGCAACAATACCATATTGAGTGTAAATGAGAATATTTATCAACTTAATGCTGCTACATTGTGACAATAAAGCCATCACTACATTTACTTTTAACTGTAACCATAAACAATTTTAATTAAATTCACATTAGGAAATTTTACTCATTATTATTACAAATTTATGGCATTGTGATCTGTCTTGTTCTGAGAAGAGTAACAAACACAAGCAACATTCCTGCAAGTTTTGAGAAAATCCACCACCAAATCTGTCAAATTAAGCCAATAAAATCAGAACCAGTTCCTGGAGGCAGTAATAAGAGCATGTCTGTCTGTGTCCTGCTCCTCCAGGTGATGATGGCACTGTCGGCACACCTGGGCTCTTTAGAGGCCGAGAAGCAGAAGCTGCGTGCTCAGGTGCGGAGGCTGTGCCAGGAGAACCAGTGGCTACGGGATGAACTGTCCCGAGCACAGCAGCAGCTGCAGGAGAGAGAGCAGGAGGTGGTGACTTTAGAGGAGCAGAACAGACACCTGCAGTTCATGAGCAGCATTCGCAAGTACGACCACGAAGAGACGTCTCTGGTAAGCATTCAGTTAAGTTCTACGGTGCTCTTTTGCTCTAAACAAGATTCGTGGTTTAGCAGTTGTGTGCTAAATCATGGAATTATAAAAAAAAAATGTATAAATAAAAAAAAATTATAAAAGAATTTTTTTGTAGTGTCATTTTAGTTACATCCCATATTCTGCATTGAATAAATGACATTAAATTGGGAGGGGGTGTTTAATGTCTTAAAAATAACACAACACCATTGAGGCAGTTTTCCTCAAATGTCTTGTTTTGACCGATTCCATCATGAAAATTGAAATATGTTTTGGTTTATATTGCACATCAGATTACTTGTTTATGTAGTTATAATGCAGTTTTTGTTAAATACGAATTTTTTTTAAAAAGAATTAATAAAATTTACTGGCCAACTGCCAAGTAAAACTTTCTCATATAATTTCACCATCACTAATTTTTATCCATGTCTTACTGTTCTTACAGGAGGATAAAGATTCTACTTCAGGAAAGGAGTCCCTTGATGATCTCTTTCCTACAGAAGAAGAGGAGCAGACTCACAGTATGACCCTCCTCACACTTCTGTTGCTTTACCACTTTTTAATCTGCTTTTTAACACAGTTATTTTCACAGTTTACTACGTCAGTTGTTAGATTAGACCAGGGAAGCCCAAACTTTTTCTTATGAAGGGCCGAAAACCAAACTAGATTGAGGCTAGTGGGCCGAAGGTAAATATAGCTGCCATAGGTACTTCTCATTTAATTAAGAATATTTAAAAATAACTAGTAAACCTTGCTTTGTATTAACTAATACAGTATACATTTTTTTTACATTTTTATAATGAACTTATTACAGTAAAAACAATCTCATTTATTACAGAAAGCAGATACCCTAATCAAGCTGCAACTGATTGTGTCCTCTATTTGTCAAGTGACAGTATTTACGTTTTTACAAAGTATTTATTTACATATTTACAAGTAACATTTAAATGAAACATTTAATTTCAGTTGGCTTTTTTGTAGCTCAGCAATAAAACAAACAAACAGATTATGTTAAACTAGAAATGACAATCTCTATAAAAGTCATTCGCCCCAACCCTGCCCATCATTCGTACACCTTTTTCAAATGGGATGGTGGGCCAAATCAGAGGTTACAACGAGCCAACTTCGGCCCGTTGGTCCTAGTTTGGGCATCTCTGGATTAGACGCTGGGTTAAGGGTGGTGTTATGTTTCAACCACACTTTTACGACACGCACAACTAGCATTATAAATCTTAAAAGATTGTTTTATAGCCATTTATATTGGGAAAAGAGTATTGGACAGGAAAGTGAGACATGTATCTGACCTCGCGATGACCACAGCTCAGTTATCAGCTCTTGTATTTGCAGTGTCTCAGCCACACAGTAGTGCTGCCGCTGCTGCCCAGCAGGGAGGATATGAGATCCCTGCACGACTGCGAACGCTCCACAACCTGGTGATCCAGTACGCCTCCCAGGGCCGATATGAGGTGGCCGTGCCGCTCTGCAAACAAGCTTTAGAGGACCTGGAGAAATCCTCAGGCCACAGCCATCCGGATGTTGCCACCATGCTCAATATCCTGGCTTTAGTGTACAGGTCAGCTCTGCTCTGTTAAACTGTAAATTTTCATTAACATTGTTTTAAGAACAAGGGAGATGATAATTAAATTTAAAATGAATCTCCACAGATATTAGAACATGTCTTATACAGGTTTAAATTTTACATAGATTTTACTGAACCACTAAGAGACTGTTTAGAGCAGGTTTTAAAATTAATTCAGAATGTTAGAGATGCCCGGAAGAAAAGGGTGATTATTTCATGTATTATGACAATGCCCAGATGTTTAATATTTTCTGAGAGAAACTCAGTGACCCCTTTCCCTTAATCACATTAACAAAACTACATCACAGTAGATACGGAGTGATTTTCCAAAACTGGAAATCTTCCAGAAAACCTTAGATAATTGATGTTTTTTTCTACTAATTTACATTTGTTATTTAATATGCGTATACATTTATATATATATATTTATATATTATTTATATATAATAATTTTTTTAGGGGGGTTTAATCTTTAATGGATAGAGTAGTGCAGTGACAGGAAATAGTTAGGATCAGAGGGAGGGGAAGGGTCGGCAAAGGACCTTGAGCTGGGAATCGAACTCATGTCGCCCTGAACACCATGGTGCTATATGTCAGTGCACTTAACCACTAGGCTATTGGTGCCGACATGCATATACATTTATATGACATTATTTGCGTTTTACCATTTTGTTTATATTTTTTGAAAATTTAACAAAAGGTTCCAAATATAAAAATTAAATATATTAAGTGACAAACTATTATGAGAATGTGTTAGCATTGAGTCAGTTATGTTTTAAGTCAGCATAAACAGGAGAATATAGGATGTGCATCAGCATTTTTTATCCATCCATTAGGACCTAAAGTGTCAGCAGACTAATAAACCTTAGAAAACGTTGTGCTTCACAGAGATCAGAACAAATACAAAGAAGCTGCCAGTCTCCTAAATGATGCATTGGCCATCCGTGAGAAGACCCTGGGCATGGACCATCCAGCAGTATGTACTATGTGCGACTGTTATGGTTTGCTTAACACGTTGAGTTGTTTTTTGTTATAAAGTCGCATATCCAGTCTATGCAAATCCCTTTCCTTGAGTGTGTTTGTGTTTGTGTTTGTGTTTGTAGGTGGCAGCTACTCTAAATAACCTGGCTGTATTATATGGAAAAAGGGGGAAGTACAAAGAGGCAGAGCCATTGTGTAAAAGAGCTCTGGAGATCAGAGAAAAGGTAATGACACAGAAGAGGAATTATACTGTAGCATTTGATAGTTTGGTGTCAGAGCATATATATTTTTGAAAATAAATAAATAAGCAAGGCAAGTTAGATTTGTTTATATAACACATTACATACACAATGGTAATTCAAAGGGCTTTACATAAACAGGAATAAAAGAAACAAGTATAAGAAATAAAACCAACAAAGAATACAAATGATTAAAGAATTAATTAAAAAAGACTATTTACATTGCTACAAAATGTTATGATTCAAATAAATGCTTATTTTCAATGAAGAATACTGAAAAAATAATGTGCTATAACTAATAACTGAATAAAAATAACTTGAATACTCAAATTGAAATAAATACAAGTAAATTGTAATAAAATTTCAAGATAGGGTTGGAATATTTAATCAATTTCAATAAAAAAGGTCAGGAGAGTTTTTTTTTCAATATCAAAAATCTTAGTAATTTATTGAATACAAAAGAAAACCCATACATACACCCATACATGCATCCTCTTTTTTTACGAATTCTCTGCACAACCTTAAAAAACATAAGACTTCTCAACTGCACATATTCTGTGTTCAGTTTCAACTAGTGGTGGGCCGTTATCGGCGTTAGCGCGCTGCGTTAACGCAAGACTTATTGCACGATAAAATAAATATCGCCGTTAATCTATTCTCAAAGTAAAGTTAGGAGCTGACTTTCACCTTGATATTTACACCTTGATGATGACTTTCACCTTGTATCAAATCAGCAGAATGCCTGACTTTAACTACAGTTATGCCCCGTGACAAAATGGGGTATCAGATGCAAATAAGAAGTAAGGACTGGTGAGAGAGTTTTGGAATTTAATAGCGCACACCAAAAAGAAAGAAAAAAACTTCTGCTTTTCGCGATGTGTGTTTGTGTGTGCGGTCCTTTATTGCCCGCGTGTGTGTGGATCTTGTCGGAAAATATGGCGAAAAGTTGTACATAACGGTGTTTACTAATTGCGGTGTTTATACTGCCACTGATATATGCATACTCCACATGTCTTAATTCCATTTCTGTTTAGTTCAGTTATGACTTTAGTCATATTAAAGTAATCAAAAATCGCTGTTTGGAGCTTATGTAGGCCTACAGTTTAAAAATTCATGTTTAACTGAATAAACAATTAGTAAACACAAGTACATTGAACAAATTATTGAACATAATTTATTTTCATCACCAATTACCATAGTAGAACAGTTTCTCTAGCAGTTTGTGATGCATTTCGGAAACAGGAGATGAGCCCCTGGTCTAATGCGCCACCTGGCTTGAGAAACCCGTTCTCAAAGACTTATTATTTGGGTAGCACACATATTCTGAATGCCTTCGGAAGAATTCAAATGAGCCATTTTAATCTAGATTAATCTAGATTATTTCCAAGATTAATCTTGATAAAAAAAAATGTCCAGTTAGTTTTAGACAATCAGGTCTTTGTATTTCTATTAGCTTCACCTACTTCTGCAAAAATGCTTCATTTAATTTCCAAGGCACATCACAGTTAATATATCACCTTTAAGCAATACAAATACAATTGTTTAATGCAGAGAAAAAGAGACAAAAATAACAAAAAATATATTCCTTTTTCACAACAATATTCATATTTTAATCAAATTAAATAAAGTCTTGGTGGCAATTAAAAATGATTTAAAACGCAAACACATTTTTTTACAAAGAACAAACTTTTGAAAGTGTAAATTATATTGCAAAAAAAAACGTGTCTTCACTTCCCCATTTTAAATTTACTATCTTGTTTACATAGCGTCACCTCAGAATTATAAGGTTCTATCTGAAATTTTTGTCAAAATTAAGTTATTGACATAGTTTTATTAATTGACAATTTATTTACATTATGGGATGTTTTTTATAAGTTGTTTACATTTTAAGACTTTTTATTTAAAAAACAAATGTTACACATATACTGTTTGCTATGGAATGCAAAAACTTTGTAGCTCAATATCTCAAAATCCTTCAGAACGTAGATGGAACCTTATAATTCCAAGGTGACGATATTTTAAAAAAATCTGAATAAGATGGAAAAGATATTCTGATCGGAACCTTTGAATGCTGTTTCATACAAACAGGGGTCTTGAAGACAAAATGGTCGAGAAGCACTGATCAAATCTAAATCTGTAGTCTATGTTTGTATGTCTATAGGTTCTTGGGACGGATCATCCCGATGTAGCGAAGCAGCTAAATAACTTGGCCCTGCTGTGCCAGAACCAGGGCAAATACCAGGAGGTGGAGCAGTACTATGAACGAGCGCTGCACATTTACCAGAGCCAGCTCGGACCTGATGATGCCAATGTGGCCAAGACCAAGAACAACCTGGTAAGAGATGCTTGCCTGAAGGCACAGGATGTCAACATAATGTCATATTGACGTTGTACCCCAGCATACCCCAACATTGTGGGGACTTTGGATTTTGTTTGGTAATGAAAATTGGGTTGACATCAGAACCCAGCGTCAGGCCGACATCAATGTCCAATGTCCAACCTAAAAATCACCCTAAAATCAACCAAATATCAAAGTCTAATCATGTTACACCATGTCGTTGTGTGGACGTCACCACTATGACTTACATATGCATTCACTTAACATATGACTTACTATACAATCAGACGTTTGAGTTTTGTCACTTTCCAACACAACCTAAAATCAACCAAATATCAATGTAATTCGATGTCGTTATTGGAAGTCAAAATAACATTGTACTTAGACGCTGGCTAGACATTTAATTTTGGTCACCTGACGTCACAACAAAAATCTAATCTAATATTAACGTCTTATGATGTTGTGTGCCTGCTTGGTTGTGTTGAAGTAATGCTAGCATAAGTGTGTAATGTGTGATATATACTGGTGTATGTGCTCTCTAGGCCTCCTGCTACCTCAAGCAGGGAAAATACAGACAAGCTGAGGCTCTTTATAAAGAGATTCTGACTCGAGCTCATGAGAAGGAGTTTGGCTCAGTGGAGGGTAAAATCACTTGTACATTTACACTCTATGCACAAAGTTTTGAACTATTCAACTTATATACCAAATGGTAATGTTTTTGTGTCTATAAAGGAGATGGACGGCCTGTCTGGATACATACCGAAGAGGGAAGCTCTAGACCGGTATGTTTCCAATCCAGATACACAGTGTCAAACCAACCAAACTTTAGAACGTTGTATGTTTTGTGGAATTAATTTGATAGAGAAAGAAGCTACATTTTCAGACTTTTTTCTGTAAAAAGTAAACATTTATTTTGTTAAAATACAATTACAACTACACCTGACAAAAGGACAGAGGCAACACAGTGGCTCAGTGGTTAGCACTCACAGCCTCACAGCAAGAAGGTTGCTGGTTCAAGTCCCAGCTGGTCCAGTTGGCATTTCTGTGTGGAGTTTGCATATTCTCCCTGTGTTGGCGTGGGTTTCCTCTGGGTGATCCAGTGTCCCCCACATTCCAAAGACATGCGATACAGGTGAATTGAATACACTAAATTGTCTGTAGCATTTACCTTCGGACTGAGCCGAAGGAAAATGAATGAAAACTATTGAAGCTTTAACATATATGGCAACGCAGGCAAGAACATCCACATAAACAGATGTTTTATAAAGTTTATTGGTGTTCTTTTACTCAAGAAAAATCACAGAAAAAGCTGAGTGAAAAGACATGATGCATCAGCAGTTTACATGTGTTTGTTGCCTCATTACAAACATAATCAGAAAATTCAACACTATACACGTTAAACTAACAAAAGAATCATGTAAACAGATCTTATGCCACTTCATGATGGTGCTAAATACATTTTTAATCCATAAATTCTTTTTTTGCTATTAATTTTACCAGAAAAGCAACTGCTGTTGTGTAAAATGTTATACATACAGTTGAAACCAGAAGTTTAAATACATTGTATAAAAAGGCACATAACCATTTAAAGTCAGATATTAATGTGACTTAACTTTTTTTTCTTTTAGGTAGGTTAGGATTATCAAATTTGTTTATGTTATGCTTAATAGAAGAATAATGAGAGAGAGATTTTTTGAGAAATTGTTATTACTTTTCTTGAAAGTCAAGTTTACATACAATAAGATTATTATGCCTCTGAAAAAGCTCAGATGATGGTGTCAAGGTTTTGGAAGTTTCTGATTGGCTAATTGACAACATTTGAGTTAATTGGAGGCACAACTGTAGAATATTATTTAAGGAAACCTCAAAATCACTGCTTCCTTGTGTGACAACATAGGAAAATCAACAAGCCAGAATTAACAAAAAAGCCAGATTACTATTGGCTAAATTACAATGGAAAAAGAATCATTTTTGGAGACATGTCCTGTGGTCTGATGGAACCAAGATTTAAATAATGACCAGTGCTACATTTGGAGGACACAGAGGAAAGCTTACAAGCCTAGGAACACCATCCCAACTGTGAAGTATGGGGGCGGCAGCATCATGTTGTGGGGCAGGAGGGACTGGTCCACTTTACTGCATAGATGGCATCATGAAGAAAGAACATTATGTAAAAAAATTCTGAAGCAACATCTCAAGACATCAGCCAGCAAATTAAAACTCGGCTATAAATGGGTCTTCCAAACGGACCATGACCCCAACCATACTGCCAAATCAGTTAAAATGTGCTTTAAGGACAACAGAGTGAATTATTTGAAGTGACCATAACAAAGCCCTAAACTCAATTCTACAGACAATTTGTTGGCAGAGTTGAAAAGGCTTTTGCGAGCAAGACAGCCTTCAAATCTGACTCAGTTATACCAATTCTGTCAGGAGGAATAGGCCTATATTCCTTTAAACTATTGTGAAAAGTTTGTGGAAGGATACCCAAAACATTTGACCAAAGTCATGTAGTTTATAAGCAAAGCAAAAAAATAAAAAATAAAAATACCAAGGAAATGTATGTAAACTTTTGACTGTTTAGAAATTAATAAAAGAAATGATCTCATTATTCTGTCATTTAGCAAATGTAAATCATTAAGGTAATCCTAATGGACCTGAAATAGAAAACCTTAGTATGATTTACCATCCGACATTTTTTTAAAAATGCTTATGTTCCTTTTTTTAGAGTGTATGTAAACTTCTGGTAAACTTCCTGTGTATGCACTGTAGGACGGTCTGGGAAACCTGAAGCGCAGCGGATCATTTACTAAACTTCGAGAGTCCATACGACGAAGCAGCGAAAAACTAGTTCGGAAGCTAAAAGGAGTCGGAACACAAGAAACAACCCCTCGAGCTGTTGGGTAATCCCACTCCACTTATTATTCAGCTGTTTTCCTGCAGAAATGAACGCAATGTTTAATTGTGCTCCTTTATCTTTTAATAGGATGAAAAGAGCCAATTCTCTCAATGTGCTTAATGTGGGTGTCAAAGACAATCAAGAGGCTGCTATGGCAAGTGTTTGCTTTCAATTGTATTATTTTTTACTTATTCTGTAAACATTAAATCCCTCCCACATGAAACAAATACTATAGTAATTTATGGTAAATAAACTATAGATGTTTTAGAGCCATATTACACTTAAAGTGTGTATATATTAGAGCATTCACAACACTTTGTTAGTAAATAATACAACATACGTTATTAATAAATATAGTGAATTGATAAAACTAATAAATACTGTAGTGTACTTTAGTTTGTAATACACCCCATAGTTATAGTTGCATTGGGTAATTAGATATTACAATAGCATATTTGTTGTATCACTTTAGCAATAAGAAAAATACCACAACAGATTAATTCAAGTACTTTACTATAGTATATTGCGAAAACGCTATTGAGTTTACTATAAATTATTATTACTATAAATCGGTCTGGTCAGTACCTGGATGGGAGACGACATGGGAAAGCTAGATTGCTGCCTGAAGTGGTGTTAAGTGTGACCAGCAGGTGGCGCTCAACCTGCAGTCTGTGTGGGTCCTAATGCCCCAGTATATTAATGGGGATTCTATTTGAGGAGAATCCCCTGAAAAATGCGTAAAGCACTTTGCAGTACTGTTGCAAGCGCAACTGGCACTCTAGGCAATTGACAATTGTGCCGCCCTCAGGGTGTCATGGATAAAAATGAAGAGGCTGCCCTTTGCAAGATGCCGCCCGGACCAATCCTAAATCTTGGTTTGTCCAGAAAAGCTTTGAGTGCCTAGTAAAGCGCCAGAAAAGCACTTTGTGTCCAGAAAAATGCTCTATAAAAATGTAAGGAATTATTATTATTATTATTATTATTATAGTATTTTTTTATGTGGGTCATTCGCTTTCTTCTTTAAAATCATTGTGAAAAATTGTTATTTGATGTATAACAATCATTTCAAAGTTTTAGATAGTTGTTTTTTAGAAGGCTTTATTGAATACAACAGCATTCATTTGAATCAGAAATATTATTATTAATTCATGTATTTTCACCCCTGAATCTCTTTCTAACGAAAAGAAAATGACATTTTAACACTAAAATAAAAATGAATGGAAATGTGATATTTCATCTTTTTTCAGATGCCCAAGAGGCTGACAGACGCTCGGGGTCTGAGTTCCAGCACACAGAGTTTGGCTCGTCGAGCGTCTCTGACCGGAGACAGTTAACCTTCAGCCACATCAGCTTCAGGATCTACCACATCTCACTGGTCTGTAATGACTGCAGATCATATTTGATAATGATATGAGAAATAGTGTGTGTGATCGATTCAGAACTCCCTGAAACACACATTTAATTGCAGTCCGTCAAAGCACACTTCGACATATTTCAAAAAAAGAAAAGATTTTTTACGTGGTTAAAACATTTGAAATAAATTTGGTCTACTTATTTTTTTTAAACCAGTTGCAATATAAAGTGTGACAAAATGATAACCTTTTACATTCCAGATCTATCAGACTACTTAATATGACTTAATATTTATCATTTTTGTAAAAGAGCAGGCAGGATGTATGTTTGGTCAAGGTGTGGTCACATTTATTCTTGCTTGACGAATGCTGCGATTCAGTTCGCATACTATCCATCCTAAATAGTATTTGAAAATAGAATTAGAATGTACCAAAGCGTAGTACGTTGAAAAGAGTATGGCAAAGTTCCCGGGTTTTAAAAGCGTCCATACTATGATCGCTGATATTTCCCACAGCATATTGCATGTTGGATGTGAATTTGTGACTTCTGTGAGTAATGATAATGGATGCGACCACATCTTGACAGTTGACATCTTACTTTGAGTGTTAAAGCAGGATGTGAAATACATCTCTCATGCCATCTTGAATTTCAATATCAGATTCAGTTGCACTTAAATCTCCAAATTGCTTCTAGATGCACCTTAATCCAATCATTTCCCAATGCTAACATGAAGTTACATAACAAGATAAATTCAGTTTGTTTCTTCTTGAGCTCATCAAACGTTTGCCTATAAAATAAGGGATTTTTTATTTATTTCAAACAGATATTGTGTATATATTGTGTTTTAGTACTGAATAGGGTGGATTTTATATATAAGCAGAATTACGGAGTACAAGAACAATGTACAGTATGTTACTCCAGGTAATGGAAGTAGTTGTTAAGAGGTGTTTTTGCACCTAGAAATCAATGGGCTGCTACATCATCTTAACAGTTGTACATTTACATATGGTTGTTACATAATTATGTGCTTTCAGACTGTATTTATATACTAATTGTTGCTGATGAACCAAATAAAATTCTTCTACCTCTCTTAAAATCTAAAAGTCTGAATAATGCTTTCAGATGTGACAGCTACTGTAATATGTGCAGAATTCAATTCAAATTCAGCACTCAAATTTGAACATGCGCACTTTTATAAATGATGAATTCTCGCCATTTTATGATTCTCGCCATTTATTGATCTATGCAAACATTCAGATTTATAAAAATGTATTTGCATCAGGTTCTGAGCAAAATCACTGATCACAACATCTGAAGGAGAGCTTTTTTTTTTGTTGTTATTGAATTTGACAACATGTGCAGCAGACTGCTGTCAAAGCTCCGCCTTTTTGATGCCCCTAATTAATATTACCATATAAAAGAACACACCAATATCTGGATTTGTATGCTTGAGAATAACAAGCACAAAGAAAATATATTTAAAATTGAGGTCCTGCTTTCGTATCATAAAAACATAAATAATTGCACATTTATGGTCATTTGTCTTCAAAAATAATAATTGTCACGCGTCTAAAAACATTTATGATTTGGCATTTCTTTATATTTACAGTTTACTACTACTGCTCAAATGTACAAAAATGTATTTTCTGCAAATATAACTGATGTAAATGACTAAAAGTTTAGGGCTGATGGCAGCAGATGTTTATTTATTTCCGATATATTTTAATTATTTATTTAGTGTGGATTTTAAGCATTAGTAAATCAACATGATTCACAAATCACAATAATAATAAAATACAATAGTGAATGGCAGCATGGTGGTGCAGTGGTTAGCACCATAGCCTCATAGTAAGGTCACTGGTTTGAGCCCTGACTGGGCCAGTTTGCCTTTCGGTGTGGAGTTTGCATGTTTTCCCCGTGTTCATGTGGGTTTCCTCCGGGTGCTCCGGGTTCCCCTTCAGTCCAAAGGCATGCGCTATAAGTGAATTGGATGAACTAAATTGTGTGTGCGTGTGTGTGTGAATGCAAGAGTGTATGGTTGTTTCCCAGTATTGGGTTGCAGCTGGAAGGCCATCCGTGTGATAAAACGGTTTATTCTGCTGTGGCAACCTCTGATAAATCAGGAACTAAGCCGAAGGAAAATCAATGAATAATAATGAATATAATAATAAATAAAATAAATTCCAACAACTTTCCCAGAGATTGGTTGCGGCTGAAAGGGCATCCACTGCGTAAAAACATGCTGGATAAGTTGACGGTTTATTCCGCTATGTCGACCCCAGATTACCAAAGGGACTAAGCCGACAAGAAAATGAATAAATTAATTAATTTCCAACAGCAGAATAAACTGTGCAGTATACAGAATGTGTAAAGCATTCTCTAGATCAGTTTAATCTCACAAAATGTCCCGTTAATAAAAAAGATCTGACCGCACAATCTCTCACACTGTGTCTTTGTTGTTTAGGATTAATTTGGTGCGCGTACACTGCTTTTATTAGATGCTCAGATAGCTGCAGTACAACAACTTCACCGCCAGAAAAAGAGTGTATACCTACTAAGACCTAGATGTGGTGGTAGTTTTATAAATACAAACATTTCTGTGGATTTAAGTGTACACACACTTTATAAATGAGGTGTCTGCAGTTTAGTGTGTTTGTGTGCTCTCTGCAGCTGGATCTGGCACAGTATGTTTGTCTTCAAATATTACAGAACAACACTGGATAAAGAACAGCATTTATTCATGCTCCTGTCATTGTTGTAGAAAACACTTTATAAAACAGTATATACATTTACACATCTGCCAGAGTTTATTTCTTTGTTTTAGAAGAGCGTTCAGGCTTGGTGAGCGATCTGGGCAATTTTCTGCAACATATCCTCAGACTGGAGCTGTTCCAGAGTCAGCAGAGACAGACCCAACTGATCCTCCTGCCAAACATAAAGAAATATATATCTAAATTGGTGTCATAAATCAAAACATGCAGCTCACAACCTCATTCTTGCAAAAATAAACCTCAATATATGAATATTTCCTTTGTCATGCACTACCTGACAAATGACTTGTCGCCTATCCAAGTTTTAGTAACGACAAATAATAGTTCTAATTGATGTGTAATTGAAGTGGCTTATATGAAAAGAAAAGGCCTCTAGATTACGCTTATTTTACTAAAATAAAATTGATTGATTTTTTATTATTTAATTGTGTATGACCTCCATGAGCTTGGAGGACTGCATCCATCCATCTCTGCAATGACTCAAATAACTTATTAATGAAGTCATCTGGATTGGCAAAGAAAGCGTTCTTACCCCAGACATGCTCAATAACGTTCATGTCTGGTGACTGGACTGGCCAAACCTGGAACACCTTGACCTTCTTTGCTATCAGGACCTTGGTTGTGGAGGCTGAAGTATGAGGAGTAGTGATGCACAGATGAGGGTTATATCCGCGGGCGCTGCGGATAATCCGCGGGTCAGGCGGTTCAGGTAATAAAAAAAAATACATTATGATTGTATGCAGGTCGGTTGCGGGTGGATGTAGCAGAACCAGCGAAAAAGCAGAGAGTGGGCTTTGCAGAATGAAAAGATGAGACACCCAAAATAATGGATGAAGTGCAAGAGTAGTACTGTTCAAAGTTTTAGTTAGAGGAGTAATCAGAGGAAAATCTGCTCTCGTTCTAAAAGAAAAAAAGATCGCTTATTTACACGACTGCAGCGCCTTGTGAGGAGAGTCTTGTTCATTCCTACAACAAGCGGTGCGAGCAACGCTCATTCAGTGCAGCTGGCCGCGTTTTGGAGGCGAGGCGCAGTAGAAGCTATACTGTTTTTGCACAGTGTGAAGAAAAGGGCCAAGTAAACACGACATAACTGCCGTTTAGGCTAAAGTGGCACCATTTTTGTTATCTTGTTCTTGTATCTGTAAAAGCTAAAATGTCCTATTTTTACTTTCTGTATTTGAAAATGAAGAAAATGTTGTCTAAAGACAAACTTTTGTTTCTATAAATAAATATTCTTTTAAAAAACATTTAAGATTAACATTATTTTACTATCAGAGATGCGCAGATAATAGCTCACTGAATCTGCTGTTAATATCCATGGTGACTTATCATCATGCCAAAAGCAAATATTTAACTATTAAAGTGACGATTAGGCGCGGATTCATACATCTGATAAAACTATATGTGCGGGCGGGTGGCGGTTGGATGATTTGTATGAAGCCGCGGATTCGGTTGTCATGTCAGCTGATCCGCGCATCCCTAAATGAGGAGCACTATCCTGCTGAAGAATTTACCCTCTCATGTGGTTTGTGATATAATGGGCAGCACAAATATCTTGATTCCTCAGGCTGTTGGTGTTGCCGTTCACTCTGCAGATCTCTCACACGCCCCCATAATGAATGTAACCCCAAACCATGATTTTTCCTTCACCAAACTTGACTGATTTCGGTGAGAATCTTGAGTCCATGTGGGTTCCAATAGGTCTTCTGCAGTATGTGTGATGATTGGGATGCAGTTCAACAGATGATTCATCAGAAAAATCTACCTTCTGCAACTTTTCCAAATGACAAACTAGAAGTCCAGTAATTATTTGTTGCTCTTATAACTGAGATAGACGAGACTTTTGTCAGGTAGAGTATGTATTGAGATTAGTGTTGAGTGTAATTAGTTACAAAGCAGCTAGTTACTGTAAATAAATGACTTATCTGCTGAACAGTAGCGTAAGGAATTACTTTTAAATTTATAGGCAATTTACTTATAATATACTTGTATTATTTCTTATATATATTTTTTTCCCAACAGTTTTGTAATTTATTACAGAGTAATTATATTTATCAGCTAAAGTTTATATTTATTTTCCAGCACTGGGATGCAGCTGGAAGGGCATCTGCTGGTAAAACACACGACAGTTGCCGGCTTATTCTGCTGTGATAATCCTTAATAAATAAGGGACAATAGGAAAGTATAACAAAGAAAAATTAATCAATGTGTTTAAATTTTTTAAGATGATTATATGTTCAAGAAAGAAAAATGTTGTGTGAGAAATTAATGACTAAGACCATGTTTAAATTAAGAGTTGAATTTATATCATTAAGCATTGAGATTTACAAAGATTTTAAGTAGTATTATCAGGTCATGTAATTAAATTATTTTCAGACTAATTAAGAAATGTTAAATACAATTTTAATGATGTAATTAGAGATTACTTTTATGAAATAACTTACCAAACACTGATATATGCAATATGAAGAAACCAAAAATTAAAAATACTAACATATTTGATGTTTGGCTTAATTTGGAAAAGAATTAATAACTATGAGGGGTGAAAATATTTAAACAGACATATTTTATTTTATTTTATTTGTTTGAGTTTGATCATTATGGCTTAATGTTTTTTTGTTTGTGCTTGCTTTCATCCTCTTTTCACCCATTAGCTTTAAATTAATAATTACTTTTTGTATTTTTTGTTGTTATTATTATTAACAAATATACTATATACTGTAAGAAACTGACTATTTAAGCAATTATTTCATAGCAATGTTGATATTTACTTCTGAAATTATTCATCTTCGAATGTTAAACGATAAAATAAGCAAGATATTTCACAATTATTAACCTTCCAAAAGTTCTGAAGTAGTTGTTAGCAGTCGTTTTAATTCAGAAAGTATCTAAGTGCGAGCGTTGTAAATGAAGGCCAGTCAGCATGACAGGTTTGGATGAGTGAGCGGCTGATCCGTACAGGCTGAGGAAGGTTAATGTGGTCATGTTACCCGTCTGAAAGGCTGTGCCATCTGTCGCAGGAAGTGTTTGGATAACTGCACAGTCTCATCGATGGTCAGATTTAGGCTTCCGTCCGTAAGGTGTTCCTGGATCCAGCGGGGCAGCTTTCCTCGCTTATCCGCTCGTGCGTAGCGCTGAGGAAAACAATTGTTAACCATCCACCATCTTTTTAATGCTCATTTTCCCTTAGATTTATATACCTTATCCGCAAAGATCATCAGGCCGTAGTCAGTTTTTCCTCGGATGGCTCTGCCTACACACTGAGCCGCGTGGCGCATGGCATCAAATGTCAGAAAGTCATTCTCCCGGATTTGAAACTGGTCTCTGAGGTA